TAGGTTCAATGTCGATTAGTGATGAAATAAAATAAGTTTTTAATAACCAGTTCTATATTTATAGTCTTTATTGACAGAGAAAACAAAACTTATAGTAATTTGCCTTGAATAATTAACGAAAAGTAGAATCAACAAAACAATATCGTATCTTAGGAATTATTTTACCATTATATTCAGTATTTTTGTTTAAAATCATTATTTTTTATATTATTACTCATAGACTTAGCTTAAATCTTAAAAATAATAATTAATTTCTGGAAGTTAATGGTAATTGTCTTAGTGACAGAACAAGTTTAGCAACTATGCTCAACTAACCCCAACTCGGAATTTTCAAATAAAAGTGACTTTATAAAAAAACCGTGAGAATTATACACAGAAGCTCTGTGCATATTAAGAGTACTATAATTATAGGGAAGAATAGCATTTACCTGATTAAAAATAAATAACATTTGACTAAACCAGACGAAAACTTGTGATGAATTACTTTTTTACTTTTTGGTCTCAAAATAATCAAAACGCCCGTGAGCCTCACTCATTTGTCCAGCGGCCACTAGCGATCGCGGGATGTTTATTTCTTCCAAACCTCTATCTTTCCGCCATATAATGCCTAAACACACGGTGAATAGTTTTCGAGATATTTTGATTGCTCAACTTGCCCCTATGCTCAACTAGCCCCGCTCTACCCTAATTTTCGTAAATTGGAATATAGAAGTTTAAAACAATTAGTGAAGGGCTACTGGAACCCAGAGAATTGTTGCATCCCGCAATATTCTCTTTCATAATGTTGTTGTTAGATTTATATAAGGTTTATTGCATATATCATTTTCAGATTATAATGGAAAGTTGCAGAAAAAACATGACTTTGGCACTAGTAAAGCAAGGTTGAAAACTAAAACCGTCGCGGCCAAACCGGGACACCTTATTATTCTAAATCTAAGAAGCATTTTTTTGTTAAATGTTTTACCGATACTCTACTACCTTACATTAAAATCACCACCATTTTCAAATTGCCCCCTGGTGGGGCGTGCGCCCCACGTTGGGAAACACTGATTTAGCATATATCAAATTGTTAGATAATTATATTACCTCTGGTTCCTCTCAGGTTTGTATGCCCGGTTGCAAGCCCGCCCTGCACAAGCGCTGTCAACGTAAGATGGACCGCAAGTTCGAGAGGTGCTGCAGGATTCTGCCGCCCTTTCCGTGCTTCAGCGAATGTATAAGGGAGCCCCTGCGTAAGGATCCGTTTAGCGAGTGCAACTGCCAGAATCCGCAATCGGTGTGCTGCCAGGATCAGCGCAAGCGCAGGAAGCGTCCACCACCAATGCAATGCGGCTGCAAGTGAGGAGGAGGAAGTTGAGGTAAAGATTATTTAATTAAATTGGTCGCAGAAGCACCAAGAAAGTCCTCCCAGCCATTCGAAATAAAAGAAAAAAGATTATTAATTTACAATGATGTCGCATGCCCGAACTAGCGATGAGTAAAAAAATTTTTTTTTACAAATTGGCGACTGTTTGTCTTTTTTACTGTTTTTTGAGTTTCTCGAATTTTTTAAATATAGTAAAATTTGGAATTTGGGTATGATTCTAGTTCGGACTACAGATAGGTCTATAAACAAGACTCTCTGAACATTTCAAGTGAATCGGTCGAGTGGAACTCGAGAAATCGTGACAACAGTACTGAAGAAGTCTGTTCTGAGAAAAACGCATTTAAAGTTTTACGTAAAGTTTTTGCGGTCAAAGTCATAAAATGATATGTTATACTTGTTTTATTTAATCTGCCATTCCTGCTTCATGCATCGGACCTTCTTCTTCTTCACAAAAACTATTTTTTGCATTTCTCTCTTCCAATGGAGCAGTTCTAGCCTCCTTTGAAGCATTGGATGTACTTATTTCAGATCGTTCAATCCGGGCATTGTCTCGTCTTACGGCAAATGAATGAGTTTCTGGCCCAATTTGCATTACCATAAGGGTCATCATTTTTAAAATCAGAAAGAAAGCATCATTGAATATGCAAACAGCAATAAATGTTGCTTTTCAAATACCCGAGTTCGAGAATGAATGTTTCGGCGCAAAAATCTAAATCAACGAGTTTAGTGATTCATTATTGATCTGAATTTCTGAACCTATACATCGAATTAATAATAATTCATCTGATGATAAACTGTTTTAAATTGGTCTAATGACTTCCTAATACCTTTTGTCGGATTAGATCCTGCCAAACCAGTTTGGACGCCGAGTCAGTAAAATGCCTATATCTCCGAAAATAATTTAAATTTTCAAAAACCTTCTCGTACCCATATTCTTAGATAGTAAAACTAAACTAAAAACATGAAATAAAAAAACGATTATTTTGAATTTCTACACTAGAATACCCCCTTAAGTCGTACCACTACCTAAGTCGTATTCCGGATATATTTTGTCTGATAATCATAAATAACATCATCTGGTACCGTTAAATAGAACTATATAGTTTAGTAATCAAACGTTTATAATTGAAATTCTGTGGCAGATTTTGGAAACAGTTAAAATGAAAGTAGGCGTTTGGAAAAGGTTTTACTGATATTTTTGGTTCATTTGAGGGGCACACCTAGTGTGATAACCTAAAAGAAAGGTTATTTATGGGAATTAAAAAAAAACTAGTGAATCCATCTATTTAAAATTTTGAGGGTATATTTATACATGTTTTGAAAATACACAGTAAAATTTTTGAAAAAAAATCTCGTTAAATTAAAATATTGTCTGTACGATGACCCTCGGGCAAACAAAAAAATAAAAAATTGACAAATTTGCGCCATGTTAAAAAAAAGTTAAATTTTTTCCAAAATTTTGGTCGTTTTTGGCCTGCCAAAATTCGATTTTCAATCAGGTCAAAAAACTGGAGGGTCATCGTATGGAGAACTATATAAAGGAGCTGCAAAAAAAATTTGATAGCGATTGGATCATTTGTCTCCGAGTAATCAGTCCAGCAAATTAGAAAAATGCTATTTCGAAAAAAACGCGTTTAAAGATAAAACAATCAATATTCTATATACTATAATATACTCTTTGAAATGGCTGTAACTCAAAAACAATTTAAGATATCGATTTAAAGTTTTAGGATGTTTTTTTTGAAGGTACCTATCAAAATATGGAAAAATTAAAAATTCGATTTGTTGAAAATTTCACACTAGGTTTGCCCCTTTAAAGCCCAGATTAGTTGGTCCCAGACAAAATTTCATATAGTTTAGTAGCAGACACGACCAATGCTATAGGTGGTACGACTAAGGCAACATAATCGTACCGAATGCGCATTATCAAAAACCATATAATTTCTATATTTATCGTATAACATCTATATCAATAACAAAATTAAAATTGGAGTAATTGTTAATAATAAAGCAACTAAATAAAGATTCAATAAATATTATAGCATTATTTCCGTCTTAAGGAGTTCGACTTGAGCAATTTGCCCTAATTACAAGTTAACTTGCACTTTCATGCAACCTTTTTTTTATTTAATATATATCATATGTAATACATTTAAATATATCTAAATTATACCTTATATCCAGTCTTTATTAATTTAAAATGTTCAATATTAATCTCGCTCAATAATTTTTCAGATTGGAGACAAGTGCTCAGTAGAAATTCTTCCCAGTTTGATTATGTTCCAATCGGTTCATAAGGTCACCTGTTGAAGTATCACCAAAATGTCCATCACCATCTTAACATCTGGAAATTTAAAATTAACAATTGTATCTGGAGACGGTTTTGAAACTTATTTTAACTTTTTTTTAAGACTTTGTTCAAATTATTATTAAACACAGCTTTCTCATTGACACTTTTTAAACTTTGACCTAAGTCTACAATTGACATTAATAACGACTATTTTTGAGTTTGCGCAAACCACGATAATCGACAATTTAACTTATATATTCTTTCCAACATTTTTTCTAATTTTAACATCAGCCTGAAATGATTATATTTTAACCAGGAATTGTGACCTTTACCAATGTAACCGTCTTCAGAACAAAAATCAGCTTTTATTTATATCTGCAAGTCTGGTGGGACGCCTCCAGATTTAAATGGAAATAATTAGCTGAAGCGTTGAAAAACTGCAAAATTAGTTTAAAAAACTATTACAAGTTATTTTTTTTAAATGAAGATACTTTTAACCGATGGACAGAAAAAACAAGGAAGAGGTTCTACTAAAGCGGCGAATGTTGAAGAAGGATAAAAATTGTATAAGTTGAAAGAGCACACAAAAAATTTTAAAAACTTTGTAACTATATTTTTTAACACAATTAGAAAATAAAATGTTGGTATAGAATATAAAAAAAAATGAAAACTGTGTGCCTTTTATTTTTGCATTTAATTTTCAGTAAGTATATCGTGCTATTTTCTTCCAGGATTTATTAATTCAGATGAATTATGATATAATTTTTTACTCAAAATTTAATATAGTTTTTGATATTTTTTATAAAAAAAACCTCTGCCACACATAATACATGTTATTTGATTTTCAAACTGCATTTTCAGGCACATAGTAACGTTTTTGACAAGATACATCAGATAATTTGCAACATTTTCAAAAACATCCACCAAAGGTAAAATTTTATCGCGCATATAAAAATATTTTTTTAAATTTTGGTTGAGAAAACATAATTGGTAAGTCAGGAGAAGTCAAATGTGTATATTTCAGATTATGAAACGAATATTATATTTATCACAATATAATTATATTTAACAAATAGTTGGTTTCATCATTTGAATTAATACAAATAAATTTAAAAGACGTGCATTTATACTAACATATTAATAATTATATTAATATTTATATTAACCTAATTAATCACATATATTACTTATATCAATGGCATTTATAAAACATTCGTTACAACCAGGATACATACTCTATAGTATGTACATTTAATTAAAATTCTATATAAAAAATACATTTGTAATATCAGTCTATAGTTATAATACGTTATTAACCACATAATAATAATATTTATTGTTTTGTCATCAGGTAAAATAAATTAACTTGTCGATGTGTAGTTAATTAAATCAGATATATGTATGTTTATGTGTGTGTAAATTAATACTAAATAAAATCACCTTAAACATTTTTCTTCCACAATAATTCGATCTAAGGGATAAATACCACAAATCCGAAAAGCATTTGTAATCATTTTCTCAGTGAAAAATTTGTTGAACAAATCCAGAGCAATTTTCAATACATCATCTCCACTCATTACTTTTTTAATATTCCTGATCTTCGAATACTGCTCTTTATACACATATTGAACTAAGTCAGAAATTCCTACTTTTATGGGCAACATATAAGAAGACATTTCACGACTCAATATCAATATATGTACACCAGAACTTTGAGCCAAATTCAAAGCTTCCACTGACATATGGCATTTATGATCATCAAATATTAAAATACTTGGATTTTGGTTAGATGAAGAAGAATATTTAATAAAGTGACTCATAATTCCAGTAAATAAATCAAAATTTGGCAAACCATTAGAACTCGTAAACCAAAAATTGTTTGTAGGTAAATTTTTAACCAGCTTTGTGTCTGGTAAAACTACTGTAGGAGCCAATGCTTTTCCATCAGCGCTTACAATACAGCAAGCCGTAAAAACATTTGATCCTTGTTCATTCACTTTATCATAATGGAAGCATGTTTCATCTAAACAGAAAATACGACTTCCATCAGTCAAAGAAAGCTTTTCAATTAGATTTTCAAGCTTGTTGAAAAACATATTTATATTATCTGCAAGCAATGATGATCCTGCAAGATTCAGTTTATGGCACAATTTAAATTCTTGAAACCAATCATCAGAAATAGTTTCTCCTGTAGGAATCTGTTGAAGTTTTAATAATTGAAGTAAAATATCTTTGCATTCGTCATCACTTAATCCATAAAACATTGAAGCAAATTGTTCTAATGAACTTTTCATTTTCTGGTTAACTAGCTGTTCATCTATATCTATCTTTTTAATTGCTTTCGAATTCTCGAGCCTGCTATCTTTATTCAGTTTAGACCTACGACCGCCATAATGATGTCTCCTTCCGTTTTTGGTCTGCACCACTTCTGGTGATCTAAAAAAAAATCTTTATTTACTTATCTATTTTGTATATAATAATTCTTCTGTAATGATGTATGTAAATATACTCCTCCTCCGATTTTGATAAATCTTCCTGAAGTTTGTTTAGGAAGTTTTTTAAATTAATTTACCGTGGATAATATAATTTTTTCTAAATTTGTTATACCTATTAGAAGACTTCAATTTCCAATATAGTATGAGAATTGAGACTCATCATTTTATTTAAAGCAGTTCTACATTTACAGGACAATGTTTGTCGGATCATCTAGTATATGCATATGTACGTGTATATATATATATATATATATATATATATATATATATATATATGTATATTAGGGTGGTCCTTAATATAGACATTTTCGAATTTTCTTGCTCCCAAGGGCTCAAATGGTTCCAAATCGATAAAAAACAATTCTCTGAAAGTTTTAGCTCTTAATATTAACTTTTAGATAGTGCGCAATTCAATCAAACTTTGTATGGAAATAGCATGGAAAAAATTGTGAATATTAAAAAAAAAATTTTAGGTACAACTTAGCCACAATAAAATTAAAACTGAAAATTGTTTTTTATCAATTTGGAACCATTTGAGCCCTTGGAAGCTAGGAAATTCGAAAATGTCCATATTAAGGACCACCCTGATGTATATATACATATTAGACGTTGAATCATATTTGTGAAATGCAGCCAAATAGTCAAAATAAAAAGCAATTTAATTTATAATTAAGTATTTATTATGTACGTTTCGACACTATACCTGCGTCATCATTCACCACGTTAACATATTCTAAAGAATATTTAACAAATTTTAAAAAATTGTAGAATTTTTGGAACATATAATTATATGTTCCAAATAAAATGTCATTACATACCAAATCATAAAAAACACACAACACTATTTTTAAAGACATTGTTTCATGAAAAACTATACAAATAACATGAAATAATAAACTAAAAGTTAAATAATGAAATTTCGTGGTTAATCACATCATTGACAAATTGTAAATGAACAACAATCGTTTTTTAAAATCAACGGGGTTCACAAAACCTGATGCAGGAGGATCGAGTATGAAAAATACTTGCTGGTTAGTAAAAAAATATGTCAAGGATTGGGGAAAAACACTTATTATCTTTATTTTTTACTATATTTTCAATATTTATGTTTTTAATTTCAATATTTTTAGTACTTTGTTTGATTTCGTTAAAATTGTCCAGAAGTCAATCCTGCATCAGGTTTTGTGAACCCCGTCCTTCTAAATGGCGTTTCTCTTGCATTTTATTCTACATTTCTAATTTGTCAGTTATGAGAGTAACTTATTTAATGTTTAATGTTATTGGAATGTTTTTTATAAAACAATGTCTTTTAAAATTGTGTTGTGTATTCTTTTCTGATTTGGTATGTAATGATATTTTATTTTATATATATTCTAGAAATCTTTTAAACTTTATAGAATATTTTTTAGAATTTGTTAATCATGCTGACTAATGACACAAACGTACATAATAAATACTTAATTATTTATTGCTTTTTATTTAGATTATGGCTATTATATATATAAGAAACTAACCTCCCAACTTCCAAGTGCCGATTGATTTCCTGTCCATCAAAAGAATTTACAGATTGTTCTCGTTCACAACTATGATAACTTGCATTAGAAACAGTTTCCAGAAAATCATTATCTCTGTAATTTTTACAAAAATCCAATAAGTTTACACTTGCTTTTAGTCTACAAAAATAATATATCACATAATAATAATAAATTACAAATTATTCATGTGACTACTAATATATTCGACACAACACAACTGAAGCAAGGACTGTGTCTCTCAACAGAATAAACTAAAATTATTATAAAAAAATATATTTTAAAAATGTCTTTAAAGATTCTACACATTAAAATTAACCAACCTCAACCCTCCTAGAAAATCACTACAAGATTGTGTTGTTTGTGCACTTCTGAAACTCGAGTGACTTGAATTTGACATAGTTTCTAGGAGATCATCAGATCTGAAATTATAAAAACAAAATATTATGATTACTGGCATTAATAACTCTTTATGAAAAATTATTCATTACTCAACAAAACTTGTTAACTGAAACAAATGAATTGATCTTCGATCTAAAAAATAATTTATTATCAATAGAATTACAATAAAGTTTTATTTACCTGACATTTTGTGAATCTGTTTTGGCATTTTTAACTTCTTGAGCTATAATTGAGTATAGATTTGATTCCACCTCTTCAATTTCATAATCAAAATTTTTTCTTGCATCTTTTCTCCTCACAATCTTATTTTCCTTCTTGCTGACACCATCAATACTTTTCCAAATATCCATAATAACATTTTTTATGTTGTCATTACCTTTTATATATTTGGCAACACGTTGTCCAAATTTTTCTTCTGATAACATACAGTTGTGCTTTCCATCCAGAGCTTCATATAAATTATTAGGTGATTTAAGAAACTGTTTAAACTCATTGATATAACCATTATCGAATAATTGAAATTTATTGTTGACTAAGCTAATCGTTATGGAAATATGTGATGTGTTGTTAAAGTTTGGAGTTGTGTACGATTTAATAATATCACCATCGTCAGTAGTACAAACGATTGTTAAATATTTAAAACCGAGCACTTGAGGAACAACTTGGGTCATTACTGGTAAATATATTTCTGATACAGGGGTATTTTCTTCTAACAATTCTGCGAGTAGATGTATTTGTCTAGTTCTGTCGAGCAACTTTGATAGCTGCCTGAAATAATCTTTGGTCAAAGCATTTTCTAGTTGTATGTCTGTAGTTTCCTCAAGATCTTTTTTCCGTTTTTCATATAACTTTTTCTTTAAATCTTCATCATCGATTTTGTGATTCTTATTTAACTCAGTTAAGCATCTATACATTTCTAAATCGCGTTTGTAATAAACACGTTTAACAACTTTTCTACCTTCTTCAGTGATCCGAGTCATTAATTGTTTCTTAAGAAATATTTCAATCATTTTATTAATATCAGAGTTTGGACAATCATTTGAATCGAGTGTATTAATATTTGATATTGTTAATAATCGATGTATAGAACTCCATAAATCTTTTAAAAGTTCATTGTTTATCATGATATTGTTTGCAAATTCATGCAACCTCTCAGCATACGAATCATACTTTAAACTCTTTTTAGTCTCTTCTTTTATTTGTTGGGAAACATCCAAAACAATTTTGTCAATTACAGATTTTACTTTGGCAGTTATTTTATCATCGGCAAAAATATTTGCTGAGTAAAAACAATTTAAACCACTTTGATCATTATCGAGTTCTATTTTACATTTCATCAATACAGATTCCAATAAACGAGTATTCACCTTTCTTAAAAATACTTCAACTCGTTTATCAATTTTCTCAGATTTGTCAATGTGGGTAAAAACTCTTTTTATTTTTAATTTTGTATCATTTGATACATCTCTTTTGGAGTAACTAGATAAATAATTATTTGCAGCATTAAGTAATTTGATTACTTTATCACTACATAATAAGCCTTGAACAAATGCTTTTGCTTTATCTAACAATGTTCCCATTATTGCACTTGTGTGGTTAAAATGCAAAAATGCAATAATTACAATGGCAATTATACCAAATCCTATAATACAAAATATCCAAGAAGAAATATCATTTTCATTCATTACAAGAATATCATCTAAACCATTTAGTTTCAAAATATCCATTTCATCATTTCTTCCAGACAATTTCTTTAATGCCAAAGAATTCAAATCGACTTCTTCTTCTCTTCTAAATCTTTCAAAATCGGCTTATATCTTTTGATAATTGTTCCAATAATATGAATTCAGTTCTTATCATTTGTTGATGATTTTACGTCTAAATGTGGTAAATTAATGCTAGTGTTGAATTTATATTTACCGTTTGAATTTTTTATAATCCAATTTTTATTTATTAAATTTGACCAAATGCGATCAAAAACCATTTTATTTATATCTTTATTAACAAGGTATTTCAAATCGTCTTCTGTGAAAACAAGATCACGTACATCTTGGAATAATGTTTTTGAATCAGGACTCAAAAACCTTGGCTCGATTATTCCATTTTCAACAAGTTCTTTGTAGAGTAAACGAGACGATCGAGGCAAAAATTCAAATATGATAACTTGTTCTTGTTTTCTGACTTTTTCCTGAATATATTGCAAAGCTATTCTGTAAGCAAAGCATTCTGATAAAATATGCATCACTGTTTCCTTATAAAGATTCCAAAACGGTAGATTAATATCAGGTATCTCAACAAACTCTTTTAATAATCTGTATTCACCTGATGTTTCACCCAAAATGCCAGCGTTAATTAAGTAATCAAAAATTTGTTCAACATCTGCAACTGGAATATTTGCTCGTTCCAAGTCTTCTTTTATAATTGAGTCAAATTCAACTAAATTAACATTGTTTAATTTATTTTTATTGATACATGCTGATGCATTTCTTGTCGCCAGTCCTCGTTCAATTATGTATTTGAAATTATTTTGCCCGATTATTGAAATCAAGTCAGTTTCTTTCAAAATTACAATATTATTAAGAATTTCATGATCAAGTTTTTCTTTATTAAATATTACAAAATCGTTAGTTAATTTTGTCAGACTGCTCTTTTGATTAAGTTCTTTTATTGGAATATTAAAATAATTTAAATATTTTGTCACATCGTCTGCATTAAAACTAACATATTTAACTTCATTGATTAGAACTCCTTTTGTCTTTAGTTCACTCCAAAATATTTCTTTGTTGCAAAATGTAAAGTTGGTTTCAAATGCTTCTAAAAAATCCTCTTCCGACTTGAAAGTTTTATTCAAAAGCAATTGATAAAGCTCCTCCTGTTGTATACCAAACCTAAACGCAATATTTTCCAAAATCTTCTTGTCAATGTTCTGATTAACTTCAGGATTACTTAAGCAATGCTCTTTTCTGGACAATTTGCTGTAAAGAATTTCGGCTGATATCTTATTCATTCCCGAAAAAGTACTTGATGTAATGGGAACTCCTAAAATATTATCAATAGATGTCATGAATTCTGCATAATTATCGTACAGATTCTTTTTCTGTTCTCTGAACGATTCTATTTGCACGATGTCAATGTGATGTGTATCTTTAATTTGTTCGACAATGTTTGTGTAAATTAGTAACTGATTCATGTGCATTCGGAAAAGCGCGTAAGCCTTTTTTAGTGCAATTTCTTTATCATTTTTATTTTTACAAGCGAGCGCTTTGTAATAATACGAAGCTTCGCAAAAGTTTGGTTCTTTTGAAATGACTTTATTGAATAATGTCAATGCCTGGTCGTATTTTTTCTCATTGACCAAGCATTTACCGACTTTGTTCATACGCATCGGATTTTGTCTCACCCATTCAATGTAAGGCTCATCGTTACTAAATGTATTTATTTCACTCAAAAAATATTCAAATGATGTTTCAACATGTTTCCTGCACTGCGCTTCCTGTATATCGCGCATGTATTTGGAGACGCTATCCAGCCAAATCGCCCAACTGTCCAAGCAACTGTCCAACAAAACTTTTTTAAATTCAACTTTTCCAACTTTGCGCTTGAGTTTATCATAAACTTCTTTGAATTTACCGAAATATTCTTCCTCAGTTCTGATTTGATTGTCGTAATACGATTTAACTTCCGATATCCGTCTTAGTTCAGCGGCATCTCTCAATTCTCGAAGTGTAGTCACATCATCTACCTTATCATTTTTAACAATAAGTCGTCCGGAGCCCCTTTCGCCACGTCTGGCAGCCCTACCGAAGCCCTGCTCCTCGACCCTCAAGCTGCTTGGCAAATATGTCATGCAAACATGAAGACCACCTTGGTTGCATAGTCTCTCCGATAGTTTAATATCTGTACCACGACCGGCCAAGTTCGTGGAAATTATGATCACACCGCATTGCAAACCATCTTTGATGCGGAATTCCTCGTACTCTCGTACGTAGGTGACCACTTCATATTCCTGGTGTTCTGCACTTTTCAATACCGCTTCCAAATAATTAACATCTTTCATGGTTTCACAAATAATCAGAATAGATCTTCCGGCAGCTACAATGCCAAGTGCTTCCTGTTTTATAGCCTTGGTCCATTCGTCGTCGTTTTGACATACAATCGCTTCATATGGCGTAAATTGCTTTTGTTTTGATGTAGGAATGACCACGGTCTTCATCTCATGCACACTGGACAACAAGCTCATCTCCTGGTCAGAGCCCAAAGTGCCTGTGACTCCATATTTGCGTGCGTATTTATTAAAATATGACACGTTTGAAATGAAAATGGCTTTTAGACTTTGCATGGTCAACTTACAACCGTGTTTCAGCTGAAGAAATTGGTGCAAAGCCTCATCCCATTGAGAATTCACTTGGTCGGTACCTGTGTCAGTATCCAAAATAACCACTTTTGGATTCCTATCTGAGACAGTTCCACTTCTGTCGACATCGATTATATAGTTTTGAAATTCTTGCATAAATAAAGCTGTGATGGCGTTCTTGATCCAATTTCGTAAATGAAGTTCAACAAAACCAATTAAATAATTGGGTATAAAAATTTCTTTTGGTTTCTCTACGCAATTCTTGAAAAGAAACGTTAACCTGGAAGAATAGATCTTAAATTTATCTGTCAGCGAGTTTCTGATATTATTTGCTGCGAGATTCTTATTTATCACTCTGCCTTTGGAATCCAAGATATGATTATTTATCAACTCGTGCCATAGCTTTTCGATTTCATTTTCGCTCAAATCGTTATCGATGCTCTTCAAGTCTGACATGTCAATGATGTTATGAATTTGACTCAAAACTGCTCTCTCTAATTTGTCTTCGTCGAATACTTCTGAAAATCCTGATTCGGACGTCACAGGCCTGTTTATCCATTTCCATATGAATATATAAACCGATTCTAGTTTATCGAAACCGGCAATGTCATGGGACAAGTACAACATATTGTTTCCTCTATCCAAAAGCATGCAGTCCACTTCGTCTACAATAATATTATCAAAAGTTGTGTCGCCCAAAATATTCTCACCATAAAATTTGTCTAGCAAATAATCCCGTTGAAAATATGAAAGTTCACCATAAATTACCATGTTTTTAGAATGCGACTGTTTCCTTAGATCCATTTTCTCGTCGCAGTTGTGCCCGACATTGACCCCAAATGCCTTAAAAATAGACATGTTTTCTGAAGCATCTCGTCTAGCCAAAACAGTTGAACTCGTAACAATGTGAACTTTTTCTTTCCTCAACGCTTTTATAATCGCAAATGCAACGATTATCAATGATTTACCCTCTCCTGTTGATATTTGTGCAAATATATTCGAGTTCTTCAATAAGATCATAACCGACAACTTTTGGGCATCTCGAAGTTTTATTCCCTTCTTTTCTCGTTCTATAATTCTGTCCACAGCAAATAGAATTTCTTCATCTGTTTTTACAGACTTTTGAAACCACTGATCTAGCTTCAAAAAATCTGTGAAATGCTTTTCTTTATCAGACCAATTTTGAATCGTTTGCATAACTTTCAATGTACTTCCATTATTCTTTGAAGTAATTATATTCACAAGTTCCTCATAACTTCTATCATCAGAAGTCTTTAAATATTTTTCTTTTAAAATCTCTATCCAAACATTTTCGTTTTGGTCATTTAGCAAATTTATTTCGGTCTCACTAATACAAGTCTCTTCGCAAACTGTTTGAAACCAATATAAAACATTTGTCAAAGATGAAAATTCTGGCTTTTTATCTAATAATATTTGGATTAATTTATAAGTTAAAGATTTTCCTAAATTATTATGTATAGAAAGAGCGTAACGAGTAATGGATGCAATTTGAATATCAGAAGATTCTGCATAATTAAGTCGTTGTTTTATCATGGACTTGTAGGCAATTTCTTTAACTTTATGTTGCCACTCGGATAAACCAAGTACTTCAAATTCCGTCGTTGAAATTTTTGGCAATTCAGCTAAATAAGTGAAAATTTCATCAACATTCCCAATACTAATACAAGATTCTTGTAATTTCACTAAAAATAATAGCAACAAAGGTCTGTTCGCGCATTTTGAAAGTAGTTTATTCCATTCTTCGATGTTTACTTTCAATGAACTTCTAAAATAGTTTTGCAATTTCAAAAACAGCAATTGATTCAGCCATTCTTCTTGTTTGTGCGTAACAATAATCCAGTTAATCAAGAAATAGCTGTCTTCATCATCAAGAAAGAAGAATATCACCGAGTTTATTAGATACAAAAGTTCTTCAAAAGATATTTTAACTTGCTCACAAGAAAACCTTTTCATCAAATAATACAAAATTGGATTATCAACAATATATGTAGGTGACAATTTTCTAAGTCTTTGTGTGAGAATTTCGTTCTTATTAAAACCTTTACAGCTCGATATAATTTTTTGAATATCATCATTAATTTTATTTTGGTAAATTCTTTTATGATTGAACCGTGTTGTATATAATTTTTTGGCTATGTAATCAGATATCTCGTTCTCATTAGCATTGAACAATTTATTAAGTATATTCTTGTACTTGGCAGCCCTAGTTCTACGTTCTTGATACAGTTGCATATAGATCACATCAACATTCATTTCGCAAACTTTTCCATCGTCATAAAGTAAATGAACGTGATGTTTGGCCATTGGATTATGACTACTGATCGTTCTGCATTCACCATCTTTAGCAATATAACACTTAATATTACAGTTGTAGATGTAAGATAATACCTCTCTGAAACTGCTCGATTGAATTCCCTTTGTTAAAAATTCTTGTTTTAGTTGGGATAGAAGATAATCATCCGAGCAAGCATTATTCCATAAAAACTCAGATTTTAGGCAATCGGTTAGTTTATTATATGCGACATTAAGTTCTAAATTAAGTTTTGTCAGTTCAAATTCAAATTCTCTAATTTTTCTAGAATCATACATACCAGAAATCAATAATCTTTTAATTTTTTTGTTATTCGGCTTTGCAAGTTCAAGCACAAATGATTTCAATAAATAATTTATTTCTCGCCTTTTATTTTCAAGAAAGTCTTCATACTCTTTGAAATGTTTCTCAATGTTTTCGTCATGACTATCAATATTTTTTAAAACATAATTTTGTATACAGTTAATTAGAAGTTTATTATCATATCTTCTGTAATCTTTGGTGATTAAATTGAAAACATTTTCACAGCTCATTGCATTTATTCCATGTATGTAATCATTTAATAAACCTAATCTTCCATGTGTACGATGTTTTTTGTGATGATTTAGATTTTTTGTAATAAACTTTGCTACGTCATCAATTTCATTGAATCGAAATTTCTGTAAATTTAAATCTTTGTCTATTGACAAGAATGCCTCAAATAATTTTGTATCGTAACTACAAGCAGAATTTGAATCAACTTTAATTATATTTTCCGAACATGTTATTTTTTTGAGATAAACATTCAAAACAATGCTTAATGTGTTCTTTTTTTCTTGAGTCGTTTCTTTTTCTTCTGCAGATTTTTGGTAATTATCAAATATCAAATTTTGTTCAATATTTTTCAATCCATCTCTGATATCGTCCATAGCCTCAGTTGCATGATCGATTAATTTTGAATAAATTTCGTCAATTTTTTCTTTAGAGATATGTTTCCTTCTAATGCTCTGTGCTTGTGGCTGCCTATCGTACCTGAATTTATGGTCACACCTTTTCTTAAATTGCACTATGTTTGTTTCACTGATTTTGGTGGACTGAAAAGAAACATATGCTTTGAACCTTTCACACCAAACGCCTTCCTTTACATAATATTTATGATGTTGCAGGATCAATTTACTATTTTTATCAAAACCCTCATAGATCATTCCGCCTGAAAAAGAGTCTGTATGACCTATGTCCCAACCGCATTTTCCTGGTATTCCATTAAAGCCTTCGTCTCCATCAGGACCGTCTGCTCCAGACTGACTTTCACCAGCGATACCCACAATTTCACCGCCGCTTCCTCCTTGTCCTCCCATACCACGTTGGCCGCCAAAACCGGGAGGCGTTGCTGGAAGACCTTCACAAAGAACAAGTGAGCGATGCATAGAATGCGCAATATATTTTGCCTGAAAACCCCCCTTAGCTTTTCCTTCTAAATATACATGTTGGCCAAGCCACCAAGATCTTTTGTAATAGGAAGTGTCTATGTCCATAAAGGCGTCTTCAATTGTTTTATATGAAGTTTTAAAATTACAAGTCGAAGGAAACAGAGTTTTGAAAGAATTTGGTTCAATTCCGTATCCGTTTATGCCATTTTTTCCATTACCGCCGTCTTGTCCAGAACTTCCTGCTCCACCATTAGAGACTACTCTAAGATTTTCCACACCATCTACAGAAATGGCTTCAATTAAAACATTTCCACCACTTTCACCAGCAAAACCGTCTTCACCGTCATCTCCAAATCCAGAACGGCCAGTATCTGCAGCTGTCTTATAAGTATGCATGTTGTCCAGACCTGATACGTCCCAGATAATGCAACCATGAACTTTTAAGAGACGCGTATATACCACAATGTTCTTTCCATGCCATACATCCTTCCTCAAACTTACATCAGCGTGAACAACACAACCACTAACAAAATGAACTTCTGAAATATTGTCAGAAGATTTAAACCGTTTTTCTAATCGTGGTACAACTTCGCTCATAACTAAATTCATTGCCGATACACGAAAGGCAGTACGCCCTTCAAAATTTATAATTTCAATCTTGGCATCTTCAACAAAGTCAGCAATTTTATCCCACAACAAAGTTTTTAGATTCAACTCGTTATTCCAGTCAGCATGTTGTAAAATAGATTTTTTAAAAATAAGCAGTTTGGAATTTTGACAACATTGACTCATCTTGAACACATCATACAATTCATGATAAGTCAATTTCTCTCGTGATAAAAGTTTCTGCAAATGCAATTTTCTAAAGTCTTGTTTTTTAATTGTCATAATCAGTTCAAAACAAGCTTCAATGATATTGAGATCCTTTATATAATTTTTATTGACTATTTTTAAAGCTGCCAAACATTCACTTTTCCATCGCATTATATTTTCTGTTTCTGCAGAAAGATTTGATATGAGATTGGAATTAGATATCAAAAGGAAATAATGAGTATTAGAGTTAAAAGGTGCAGGAACTTGATCCAAGTTTTGAACAGAATGAATTTCCGAAAACATCTTTTTAAAGGCTGCAATGTCTATTATACTACTAGTTTCTTTTATTTCTTTAATACATCTCTCAGTCCAATGTTTGAAACAATATTTAACATATTTTCTCTCAATGTAGGCATTTGTTACATTTGAAATTTTACTTTTATATTTTTGTTTGATATCATCTAAGTTGGTAACTTTTTCTACTTCTCCATTGATTAGTTGTCTTAGATCCCTCTTTTCAAATCGCTCCATTTTGAAAATATCCTGGAAACTTACTAAAATCAGTTTTGTACATATGTCTTTCATGTACATATAGGTATCATGTACATTGAATAATTAGGCATTAATTGGTAAATAAATAAATGTAACTAAGAAGCATTAATAATACAGTAGAATCTGGCAAATCCAATACTTCGATAGACACTTCCAATAAAGCAACACTGGAATTTTTTTTAGAAAGCAGCTGGAAATGTTTATGCTATTTTCAACATCTTATGACTTTTTCACTATAATCCAGTAATCCGACACCCTCTGTTTTTTAATAATGTCGGATCAGCAAGGTTCTACTGTATATATAATATATTCAATACCTATAAACTAAATATTTATATTGCAAAAATACTACTAAATTATTATTGTTATATATATATATATATATATATATATATATATATATAATAAACATATTAAATGTTAAATATGAACAATATAACACTCAGATTTTTACAAACACTTTATTTAATAATTACAGACGTTTCGAGACCATGGTATGCCTCATCTTCAGTGCAATTTCAAAACAGTAAGAACTATATACTAATATATTATTTAATATTTTATTATATATTTTTATTATATATATATATATATATATATATATTTAATATTTTAATAAAATATTAAATAATGAATTAATATATCATTTTTGTTTTGAAATTACACTGAAGATGAAGCATACCATGGTCTCGAAACGTCTGTAATTATTAAATAAAGTGTGTGTTAAAAATCTGAGTGATTTAATTGTTCATATTTAACATTTAATATATATAATATATATGTTAGTTTTTCTTTTGTTATAAATTAATTATTTATAACATGATAATACATAAAAAATACACATAAATTGGTTAAATAAAATTCTTATTGTCGAAATACTTAATGTTTTAATTAAAAATTTATAATTTAAAATTAATTATAAAATCGTTAAACAAATTACCTATTTCATAAAAAAACCAAACATTTGAAAAACAAAATTCTTATATTAAAAATAGTTATTATTAATTTGTTAATAAAAAGTCATAATATAAAGACACTTATAAATTTGTTAAATGAAACAGTTATATCATAAAAATACCTAAACTTTGTTAAACAGAAAAATTTTATTGCAAAAATACTTATTCAATTGATAAAAAAAATATTTGTAATGTATTAACACTAATTTTCGTAAAATAAACTGCTTATGTTTTTGAAATTACTAAAAATAATTAAGTATATATTAAACAAAATAAATAAATAACAAAATTATTAATTAAATTATATAAAATTTGTAAAATATTCACATGAGCCTTAACAGCATCATCATACTGACGGCTTGTAAAATAAATAAATAAATAAATATATATATATTGATTTTGAAATACCTAGCAATAAGAATTCTTATTTATTTATGCTTTAAAGCATTAAAACGCATAACTTTTTCTGTGTAAAAATATATAAATTATAGGACACCATTTTTATTTTGTTAGTTGACAGTAAACACAAACTAACTCACTTCCATGTGTCCTTTTTTATCAATTTTATCATTATAGAATATTTATAATATATATATATATATATATATATATATATATATATATATATATATACTTCTAGTTAAAATTACTAATATAGAAAATATGTTACCTCAATCAAGCCAGTCCTAACCAAGTTTCACTTCAAAATATCATAAACAAATGAGTATATTCATTATTATAATGAACCCATTTGTGTATAAATTATTCACTCATATTAAAATCAATATTAAATTCTTCTTTAATATTAAAACTGAACCTCACAGATACAAAAATGAACTGCTAATGACGGACATTACAGTATTACAGTACGATTTCGTGTTCATACAGAAAGTACCGTAAGCTGCGTTTACAACATTGTTTCCGAAATTTGACGATAGAAAACGAAGGGTCTTAATGATTCAAAATAAAACTTTTATTATTCAAATACAATTTAAAATAAATTTATGGTTATACAACAAATTAAACTAGTGGGGCGCATGGCATTGTGCCTTAAGGCAAATTTCTGGAACTTCCCGTTTCAAAAATTATTATTTCTTTAAAAACTAATAACATTTTTGAAAAAAAAAAATTTCGAAAAAATTAGATTTTTGAGAAACTATAAATTTGACAAAAATGTATTAAATTTTTTCTGAAAAAAAAAATGTTTTCTATATTTTTAAATACTTTGGAAATTCTGAACTCATTTTCAAAGCAATCGTACTGCTTTATCTGCATAGAGACAAAATGTCAAAGCGCGTAAGCGCCGCGTCGGATAAATATTGGTACGGAACCCATAGGAATGTAAACAAATTTATATTTATTGTTAAAATCTCTATAAAATATCCGATAAATTGATCGGCATATGTTTAATGATCATTTTTGACCGCCAAATGGCATTTTTATATACTTTTTTTATTAGATTTCCGAAACCGCTAGACCTACCTGCATGAAAATTTGATCAGTTCTTCATCTTGTCAATACAAATAAAATGTTTTTTGAATTATCCAAATCGGACGCTCCGTTCTCTTAAAAACTAAGTTACCGTTTTTGGCACTTTTTGCCCCATATCTTCGGAACTGCTAGACCTGCCTTCGCCAAAAACTAATCAGCACGTCTCCTTATCAATACGAATCGAACGTTTTTTGAATTATTTAAATCGGTTGATCCGTGTTCCCGAAATCGTCGACGAAAATTCGTATCCGCACATACATACACACACGCGCACACGCAAACACACACATACATCCATTTTTTTCTAAGGTATGCCAAAATATTCAGAAACGTCTGAAACGTAAAGATATATAAAAATTTTCATTTTCGATTTTTTTGCGATTACTATAACTTACCCTACGGAAAGTTAAAAAAAAATGTATATAATATTATGCTTTGTCAATTAGTGATAAATAGATACAGATAAATATCTTAAGGGGGTATTTTGGTGTTATGCTATCTCTCGGAATTATATTCATGTATTTATAATTATTATACATCAGTATACATATATACATGTTATACATAAATTTAACAATAAGGAATATAAAGTTTGTTAAATTTGTTTTATAAGTATTCTAAATGTAAAGAGTTATATTTTAGATGCCACTAAATGCATATTGACACTGCTTAAATATCCTTTGTTGGGATTCATCATTAGGATTAGAATGGCTCGATGCAGGTATGGTCCCCATGCCATTGTAATATTCAGTCCATTTAAATGTTGAGACATTTAATGTATTAACATAGGATTAGGGCCTGATTGTGGTTGTCCTCCTATTGGTTGAAGTTTAATCGCTAGGAACATTTGAGAACTGTTCCCAATCAATTGCATTTGTGGCTGACCTTGATTTACTATTGTCTGATTAGTATTCATGTTACGGAAATTTACATGAGGAATATTTTGAGGATCTCTTTGCACAGAGCCTAGGGCAATTGTAGTATTTAGGAAATGTGGTTTTAATATTATATTAAAGACTAACATGTGGTACACTGTGGCTACTATTTCCATTGGCAACACTCAATATGTGTATACGTTTTAAATTCTCTTCATTTATACTGAAAAAAAAATCGACAAATCACTGGAAATATTCAGATAATTTGTATTTTACTTGTTGTCCCAACAACATTTGAAAGGACACTTGAAAAAATTATTAAAATAATAAAAAAAATATATACTGAAACTTTACTGGTCTGCAACTTTACTGGTCTAGAGTCATGAATATTATGAGATTGAAGGGCAAACAATATTTTGACGATCTATTTTTTTTTTATAAATTATTGCATAATGTTTTAAGAATATAAAAAATAAATAAAAGTTAAAAATAGCCAAATATTGACACCTGACTATTTTTATGATTTTAGCCCTCCAAATAATAATAAAAAAAATATGTATTATTAATTAATCTAAGTCTACACTGATGTCGCTATCGTTGACAAATTGAAATAATTTTTTTTCGCAAAATAGCGGCAGTCTGAAGAAATAATGTTTTCATTACATTTTGTTGTTCATACTGAAGAGAAATTTATAAAGAATAATTTGTAAAAATTTCAAGTAAATCGGTTCGGTAGAATTTGAGAAATCGTGGGTATGGTATCGAAAAGAGCAGTTTCCTCTTGTTCACATATTCTGAAAAAGCAGTATTATGATTTTTATATTTTTGAACTAAACGCCTCATTTTTTAATTGGTTTTGAGATAAATCGAAAAACTCATGTAGTTTTGAATATTATTTGTACAATTCAAAAAATATTCGATTCCTACTGATAAGGAGACGTGCTGATTAGTTTTTTGGCAAAGGCAGATCAAACCGTTTCGGAGATACAGGACAAAAAGTGCCAAAAATGGTATTTCAGTTTTTGAGAGAACGGAGCGTTCGATTTTAATAGTAAACTTGCATTGATAAGATGAAGAACTGATTAAATTTTTGAGAAGGCAGGTCTAGCGGTTTTAGAGGTCTAGTAAAAACAGTAGAAAAAAATCCCCTTTGACGTTCAAAAATGATCATTATACATATGCACATCAAATTATCACATATTTTATGGAGATTTTGATAATAAGTATAAATTTTGTTTGCATTTCTATGGTTTCCGTAACATCCTTTGTCCGATAGATTGCGACGCGGCGCTTCTATATATCGTCTCTATGCAGCTAAAGCAGCGCGATTGTTTTGAAAAAATTTCGAAAATGTAAAAAAAATCTTTTTCAAAATCTTTTTTTTTCAAAAATGTCAATTTGTTTCAAAAATTTTAAATTTTTCAAAAATCTAAGTTTTTTAAGGTCTTTCTTTTTTCTTCTTAATTATTTTTTTTTAAACCAAACGCGATTAGTTCTTAATACTGTAACTGTAAATATATCTGATTATATACGGCGGCGTATATATGTTGTAAACGCAGCACACAAACTTCTATTGGACTTTGCAAACGGGGTATTCCCTGTATTCGTTATTCGTCGCATAGATAAGACTCGTTGTATTGCCATGCGCGAATTCATGGCGCAGCGACAACGACTTGCATTCTATGGGTAACACTCACAGCAAATTCTAGGCATAGATGATAATAACTTAGTCCCAGTCCTCCCAAAAAACATCCTGAAACAATTACTTTAATATTTTTTCCTTTTTATCTTGATTTTCAATACCCTCACATTTGACTTATAAGTATTAATGTAATCTGATTGTTGAAATTGGCAGTGAATAAAATAAAAAAAAATTTTTTAAGAATATAAGACGAACGGTACGATTTTGTAGAATTTACAGCGACAATCTTAGGTTTTCAGATGGTAGCAAAAGAGTAACAAACATAGTTTGAAACAAACACTCTTGAATGTCTTAAAACGCAGCAATTATTTCAAAATTCAATATTTTTTTGTAACTTAGGCACTTTATATTTTAGGATGTTAGTTCAAACCAAGGACTTTATCGCTATATAAAATTTTAACTAGTGGAACGAATGGCATCGTGCCTTAAGACAAATTGCTGGAACTTCCCGTACCAAATATTATTTTTTTTAAAAAGATTAACATTTTTGAAAAATTATAAATTTTTGAAAAAAAATTATCGAATCTCGCATCTAGCAAGCTGTAGCTAGATTATTGTTCTGGTACGATCGAATAATTGTCTCTCGGTTTTTGATCATCGATCAATTGTCGGGATAAAAATTGATATCATAATTTATATAATATCAGTGTTTCATTGTGAATTGAGTTATCAATAAACTCACATTATCAACGAGTCTACATCAATTAATTGCGGTTTCATTTCAAGATATAATTAATTAATAATAAATGGCCCATTAGCGCCAAAAACTCATGGGAATATAAACAAAATTTATGTTTATTGTTAAAATCTCTATAAAATATCTGATAATTTTATGTGAATATGTCTAATGATCATTTTTGATCGCTAAATGTCATTTTTTTTACTTTTTTTTACTAGATCTCCGAAACCGCTATAACTGTCTTCACGAAAATTCAATCAGTTGTTCATCTTGTCGATACAAGTAAAATGTTTTTTGAATTATTGAAATCGGACGCTCCGTTCTCTTAAAAACTGAGTTACCATTTTTGGCACTTTTTGCCCCGTATCTTCAGAACGGCTAGACTTGCCTTCGCCAAAAACTAATCAGCACGTCTCCTTATCAATACAAATCGAATGTTTTTTGAATTAATCAAATCGCTTCATCCGTGTTCTCGAAATCGTCGACGAAAATTTGTATCAACACACACACTTGCACGCACACACACACACTTGCACACACACACACACACTTGCACACACACATACATCAATTTTTTCTAAGGTATGCCAAAATGTTCAGAAACCTTTGAAACGTAAAGATATATAAACATTTTCATCACCGATTTTTTGCGATTACTATAACTTGCCCTACGGGAAGTTAAAAATGATGCATTTTTCTGCTATTTATAAAGAAACGGCTCAACCGATTGACGCCTAAATCTAATCAAGTAGTTATCGTAGTCGCATCAAATGACTTCAAATTGTTTTAAATTAGGTTCGTCGTTTTTGGGAAAACATCGAAAAAATACCAAATTTCAACAAATTTTTGAATTTCTGACAAAAACTTTTTCTACGATAATTTAATAACTTAACTTTATTTAATATATATTCATTTTAATTTAATTTTGAGACTAAAATGTTATTCGTATGATTGTAAATCAAAATAAATACTAATTTTCATTTCATTTGACATTTTTATTATTTGAAATGTTGCAATATAAAAATTATATAATAATTAACGTGAATGTAAATATAATTTTCTTACTCAGATTTTCAAAATAGATACGCAGCAAAATGTCATTCTCTCACGTTTGCATGATAATCGAAATATTGGAATTATTACGCCTTTCAATGTGTAAAATGCATTGTCTATTATATTGTTTAATACTTAAAAATCGTTCTAAAATAAAACAAATGTTATATCTTCGATTCATGTAATTATAAACTATATATATTACAAAGAACAAACAAATATAACAGTTCATAAAATACGTTGACTACTTATATCACAAATAGATTTGATTTAAGTAACTCTAATTCATAACAAGTTCATAAAAACAGTGCCACAGTTTAACTACTAACGAACAAAATTACTAAAAACTTATATGAGGAGTGGTTTAGTTTTTCTTTTAATTATTATCATAAGTTTATAAATATATAATTAGTCAGACTATCACCATTGTCAGAAAGTAAAAGAAAAGTAAAAATGATGAAAAAAGTGTTGAAATGATTTTGGGTCTAATGTCGTGTCTGGTTATACGTTCGAAACGTAAATATTTAAGAATGATTTATTAATAATAATATATTAAATATATTTAAATAATATATTAAATTTGTAATATATTAAATTTCTAATATAAGAAACATTCTTAACCAGCAAGAAATATGAATCGTTCTCAATATAATGTGCTTTTTCGAACCTTAAAATAAATTGCTTGGCCGACTATTGTCTAAAATCATTATTGTTGGACAAAAGGCTTCCTATAATTACTTATAGAATAAATACAGCAAGAAAGGCTGAGTATTTTAAGATCTAATAAAAACATACCCTTTTATAGTAAATGCACCAGTACGACTATCATAGTGATTTAAATAATTTTGTAATGAAATCATAGAAACTTTCCTCGATACAAGAGATATTTGTATTCAGGTATTTTTTTTTAAAGAATTTTAATTGAAGATTTTACTTTGACGAGTTTTATAAAATCCACGTGTATACTTGACGAACTATTTAGATTCTTATTTTAATAACAACACCATAATTTTATTGCTTTCGAAAGAACTTGTAAACGACAACAATTATGGAAGATAGTAATGAAAGTATGTATATATACATCAAAATATAAAAACTGGGAATTGTTTTAAAAGAACCTTAGTTATATAAAACAACAATATTAGGACACAAAAACTACTCCTCGACAATATCATCATTTCAATATAACTCAGGTTCTATATTTGCAATTAATTTAAGTCTAATTCTGCCATTATATAACTCTAATTTATATCTATACGCCCATCTCCCAACTCCTGCCTGCGTATTATTAACGTAATCTTAATAATTTAAACAATCTGACTTATTTATTATTCAAAGCAAGGAGTCAGCGATGAAAACGGGGCGACTGGGGCGGAGCGCCCTGTTTCAAGCGCGGCTGCCATGCAATCGGCGGCGCTCGAATGCTCACCGAGCGCCTCCAGAACCTCACCGAGGGCGTACCACACTCGAGGGTCTCGGGGTTCTAGCCTGGCGGCATCCCTGAATGATAAATAAAACTCGATTTGAGGAAAGGATTTAGGGGTACAATTTGTGACGAATGGCGTTGTTAAGAGAGGAGCTTAAAAAATCGTTTTTTTTTGCAAAAATGCCTTCCAAAACTAGCTTAAAATTTAAACGATACATAAAAAATGTACCTAGTGATTTTTGTTAAAAATATTAATTTAATTAAAAACATTGTTTCTAAATGGTACATATTTTTATGTATAATTGCAAATTATATCATATTTAAGAGGGAAACAAACTTTAGAGGCTTAAAAAGTCGACATTTTTTTTGTGAAAATGTATTCCACAACTATCGAAGAATATATCCCTAAAATTTCAGAAACAAATTGCAAATATTTTCGGAGTTACAAAAAAAATGCAAGCGTCAAGCAAGTGTATACGAGCGAAACGAAAACTTCGACGCCATATTTCTCGGTTTTTAATTTCTTTGATTCTTCCTAATTGGCGGGAAAGATACCAAAAAAACCAAATGTCCTATCAAAACGAGACAAAATTGAATGTATTTAGGATTAAATCCTCTTTTAGTTGAACCTAAAAAACCGTAAAAAAAGTTATAATTAATCCACTTTTTAAACAATCTAAAATGAAATTTTGTGTCAAAAAACATGATTTTTTTTGGAAGTTAAGAAAAATTGTTGAATTTCTCACTTTTTTCTAAATTTCATTTAAAGTTCAAATAAAATCTAGAATCTAGAAAATATATATTTGTTTTGATTTTTTTTGTTCCGGATGGAAATTGTGACCTGCATCTTTCCCGCCAAATCACCTTCATGCTCGTGGCGCACCTGCAAAATGCTTGTACCTGGCATATTATGATATATATTTATATAAAAAAATTCGAGAAGAATGTTGCAATATATAACAATAAAACCTGAAAGTTTCGTTTTAATTAAATATTTATTTCCTTCCCTAAAAATTCCTTAAAATAAGCGATTTTTTAAGCAGGCTCCTCAAATAAATTTAAACTTGTGAATCAGTTCAAATAATTAAAATTTGAATTTATCGCCAATTTAACTTATTCGTCATTTTCTGTAAATTTTTTGCAAGCACGTTGTCACTTATAAAGAATCATCCTAAACGCTTCCACTTATCTTCCAAATCGAATTCTTAACAAAAAAAACAAGAAATTTGACTTTCAAAAGACCAATTTTCAACTCACAACTTATTTTAACACAACTGATGTCCTAGTAATACAACTGTTTGATCTACTAGATCAAATAATCTTCAATTTTTTAAAAGACCAAATTCAACAGTTCTCATTTCCCTTATTTTTTTCTTTTCAAGATTTTTCCAATAAAAATATTTTGAAATGTAAAATCCGACCTTTTATAAGAAGCATAAATATATTAAAATTTTACCTTAGCGTTTTCTCGGCTAGTCTATGCCTGCCCAAAGCACATTGAGCACTTCCCAGTTCACGGAGAGAGAGAGCACTCTGAGGATCTATAGCACAAGCATTCGCATAAAATGCTGCTGCTTCTTGCCACCTGATAAAAGAAATCCTTATGTACTTAACATATGTTTCTGTGATTCATAAAAAAGATTTTTAATTCTATTAGTACATTTTTAATCATATATAATACTCCTGTATGTTTTTCTTCAATTGACAAAATTATATAAATAATCAGAGAAATTGATAGAAATTTATAAGCTCTAATACTGAATTAAATCGAACACAATAAAACATAAATTAACAAGTGATGAATCAGTAAAAAAGACTTAATATTGGAGAAATTAAGTCCATCAAGTCATTATATATTGAAAGTGATTTTACACCATTTTTCGAATTGAAGTTTCCACTTGAGCCTTCTTAGGTTCTATATATTATAATCAATCAAATATTTTTTTACCTTCCTGCATGTTTCAGTAAAGATCCTCTGGCGTGCATGACACCTCTTGAAAGTGGTCTAAGTGCAGCTGCCTCTGTTACACATTGTTCTGCTGAATCTGGTCGATCCATTGACAGATATATCTGAAAAATATTTGTATGTTAAGATAAATGAAAAATGAAAATTTCTACTTGCAATTTTTTTTTTCTAAATTAATACAAGAAGTTAAAAACATTCTAATTATTCACAAGAATTAATTATGGCTTAATATGAATTAAACAATTTCATTTTAATAATTAACTAGATGACCTGACAGACGTTGTCCTGTACCCATGTCTACAATTTTTTAATATAATATACTAATATTTACCGTTTACCTAAAAATAATAATTATTGTTTTTTAAATTACACTTCACGTCAAAATGCATATTTTATTATTTAAGATATCCAAAATTGCATCCTAAACTTCTCCTAATCGATATCGTGAGGGCCGAATTGTATGTATTCATCTTTACTTTCCTATTTGTTGTTATAAAGTAAAATTTTTACGAATTTTAAAAATATTGTACTAAGATTAGTAAAAGATGCAAAGAAATGATATATTGAAAAAAAACTATACTGAAAATTTAATATCCGAATCTTGTGTTGGCGCCCCCTAAGGCGTGCGCTCGTATTTTTCGCATGCATCGCATTAAAAGTAGGACCAGTGCTGATTAATACTTAATATCATATTTCAAGTAAATTATTTTGTCATATCCTGTTCATATGTGTTCATATGTGTTCATAATCTGCCATACATATACTGTATTTTATATTATATTAATTTCTGGCACATCTCAGCTGCTTTTTGGCAATAATAATGTAGACATTTCATGTTTCTGATTCATAGTCATAAATTTATTAAACGTTTGTATGAGAAAAGGAAAAGACTGTTTTTAGGGTTTTCCCGACGATTATTCGTATTTTTCTCACCGTAAGAACCATCCTTGGACATCAACGAACATTTTAAAAAAAGAATTGGCCAAATTGGTTCAGGCGTTGTTGAGTTATGCGCTTACCAACACATTTTGCGATTCATTTTTATATATATAAGATTAATTAATTTTATTTAAAATTTTTAAAGTTTTCATTCTTTTGCAAGATTGTAAAAAGTATTACTTAACAAAAATTATTTTTCTCTTCTTCTATTACCTCCGACAAAAGTAACCAGATTCCTAGTTGCAAAGCCTTAAGTTTATTAACTGGACCAAAACAATCATCAGGGCCTGATCCGGCTCTTTGCCCACGCAATCGTTGCTGAGGAGAAAGTGAACTCAGTGACGAAGCAGCCTCACTCATAGCACGTTCGACTTTAACTGCCGCTAAAGAGGAACCCCCAGTCGCTGTTGCCTGCAGTGAACTCGAATCCTAAAAAAGAAAATTATAAAAAACATACAACGACAGATCTCTATTCACATACACGACAACTAATCACAATCGACCCGTATTGAAATGATTTCATCGAGAGCGAATGACGAACAGTTCGGGTGTAACGGACTTCCGTTGCATTTGTACGGATTTACACCCCAGTCACGCCCAAAGAAGTTTTACTTCAAAAATCAATTACTAATTACTAAATCCATTACCCTTTTACCTTATCTGATAGTTGTGCAGAATGTGCGTACACCACGCTCGGTGCTCCGATGCCATCTTCTTCATCCTCGCCTATGGCTCCAGCAGAACCAGCCCGGCTTGACCGGAGCCACGCCTCCTTAGCTCCACGCCAAAGAGTCAACATTTCCCTAGCAGTCGATAAGGCTTTTTCTGATTCACCTGCTGCCAATTCTAACCTGGCTCGTGCTTCTAACGAAGTCCAGGCGTCGGGGTGCTCCCTTAAGGCAGCGTCGAGAGCCATGATGGCGTCTGCAGGCCGCCCACTGGCCGATAGTAGAAGGGCTAATAGGTGGAGCGATGGACAGCTTTCGGGCTACAAAAATAGAATAATAAATAGATAAACTGGTGGTGTATGGCATCGTGTCTTAAGGCGAATTGCTTGGACTTCCCGTACCACAATAAAATATTCAAAGGATATTAAATATTTTCAAATATATTTGTACCTACGTCTATAATACAAAAGGTCCGAAATTTTTATTATCCTATCCTATATTTTTAATATCCTATTTGATGTCCTGCCTTTGTGATTCATTTATGGTCTTAGCATTCAAAAAATTCAGAAAAAAATAATATAGTATTTGCGGCAAAAGAACAATATCACACTTGAATTTACCATAAAACATAATTGCTTCAATAATTTAGCCTGTAATTTTCATAATCTCGTACAATATATATTAGTTGCTTTTTGGTAATTATAATTTCTAAAGTACATTTTTCTTACTAACAATTTAATAAAGATTATACTTAGGTCAATTAATTTGTAAAAAAGATCAACTTGCTAAATATTCCATATCCAATGCCAAACAAATGTATTTTTGAGATAAAACAAAATTCTAAATCATTTTTTTAAGAAGTAAAAATATTTTTTTGCATTGTTAAATAATTTAGTAAAGTAAACCAAAATGCGGTATACATAAGTTTAAAAAATATAATGCATATGCAATTTTGGACTCGTCGCGTTATTTTTTAAACTGAATTATATAATTCATCTGCCAAACACATACACTGCTGACCGTATTTTATATTATTTTAATTTCTGGCACATCTCAGCTGCTTTTTGGCAATATTAATGTAGACATTACATTTTTTTATATATTATATTCTAATATTATCTAGGCGCATAATTTCAGCTGAATTCAAATTTCAAGTGTATTGACATTTCTAGCAGACGACAGTTCAAATGTTTTCAATGTCAAACAATGATAAGTGTTCTTTTGTATTATTTGCCATTATTTCTACAATATTACTATATTTTTATGGTTCATTAATCTTAAAAATTTCCTTTGACAAACTCTGAAAAGAATTATCAAAATCCAAATAACAAGAATTTCATATATAAGATACACATATATAAGACAAAATATAAAACTTATGAAATGGACTACTACATTGTTATATGTTTACATGAAAAGTAAATAAACAAAACTTAATCAAGCGGAGTTAGAATTAAAGGACCTTAAGGAAATATATATTCAGTAATTATGTGTTCATACCTGAAGCATCAATGCAATCTGCACATATTGCAGAGCCAATGGAATCCTATTCAACAGAGCACACTGCAAAGACAAATAATAATAGGCCAAATGATCATTAGGATCATTATTTACAGCTTTCTCAAATACAGCTAATGCCTTTTCATGTAATTTTTCTTTCTTAGCTTTAATATAAGTTGCATTAGCCAGCATCTGCAGTCCAATGCCTTCATACACAATAGCACGATTGTGTTGATTGTCCGTACGAGCCACAGCCATTCTTGAAAACTTCAAACCTTCTTCAATCTGGTGATTGTGTTCATAACATATCCTTGCGGCTAACAAGCAAGGTGTAGGATCATCAGGAGCCAAGTCTATCGCTTCACGTAAAGCTGATAAAGCATCCCTGTATCTCCCTAGTGTGCCTAATGTTAAAGCATGTTGATTCCAAACATGTCTTTCTTTGAATGAAAATTTTATTGCTCTTTCAAAAGAATCATGGAGTAAACTAGTTTGGCCCCACCGAACAGTGGCTATTGTTAATAAATCATATATGGCAGTAGCCTTTCCTAAAGCCAAGTTTCTGGCCTCTCTACATTCTGGAGACTGTGATAAAACAGCATCTCTTACAGCTAGTGCTTCTGATATCAAAAGCAATAAAATAGTTTCTTCGTTTTCATCAGATGGTGTGAATTGACTAGGTGATGTATATTTTCTGGGTTTCCAAGGGCCTTCTCCAAAACCTTTGGTTACTTTAGGAGGTGATGTGTAACAAGACCCTGAGGCACCTCTTAATAAAATTTCTGCTAATTGGCGAGCTAGAGTTAGTCTAATTGATTGTGTTGTAGCGCTTTCTACGGCCATGAGCATTGATCTATATCGTTCTATAGCATTTTCAACTTTACCTACAAAAATAAAGTAAAATTAAAACTCGTAATAAATTGGCAATCAGTTTTACTGAAAAGTTAATAAAAACGTAAAATGTAACGTTATGTAATTTTGTCTTACCTGCACGTATGTGTAAAATTGGAGCATGTTGCAAAGCTGTACTTAATGCCGGGCCAATTCCTTTTGGAGTTATCGTAGGTGTACTAGGTGGAGCAGTGCTTGCTGTATACAATAAACTAGTCATAGAACTCGATTGCAAATTTTCTATCCTTTGCAGATACAATAAACCTAAATCAGCAGCTAATTCAAAACTTCTAATAAGCTCTTCTTCACTCTCGGCTTGTTTATATCTACTACTACTTTGACTACTAATTTTTTCCAAACATAAACCTTTAATGGCAAAAGACTCAGCTACTATATGCAAACTACGTAAAGGTAATTCTTTCTCGTGTAACTTATGCAATTCGGCAGTGTAATAATTTTCTAAACTTTCCGCAAACATTCCGCAAGCATAGTGAAGTTTTCCTAGAAGCAAATGTGCGTCCAGGAACACACCAGCCTTACGGCCTAAATTATTGGCGGCTAAGAGTAAATATTTTTTGGCATCACTTAAACCTGTAACGGCTTTGCTAAAATTAGCCTCTATTGGAGGATTTTCTTCTAAATAGCTCTCCAACTTTCCTTCGCCGATGAGAAAATTGGAGAGACATTCGAAGCTCGGGGTTCTGGTTTTTAGTTGATCTGATAATTCGATGACTCTTCTCCAATTGGCATCCTCTCGGCTCTTTTCTATTTCCGCTTCGATGCGAACAGCGTTATTCCTTCTTCCGGTCATTTTAACAACAATTATTATAACTACAGTTTAATTAAATTAATTTGTCAAATTGACATTTCGTATACAAAACATAACAGCTGACAGAACGTGACAGGTTGCCATATTGATTTCTCGAGTCCGAAGAACATGTATTGCCCGATGGTGTTTTGAAAATCAAACAGGTTACGCAAGTTTAATGCCCTTGCACTTGGAGGGGTAAATTCTTCACTTGAATGAAAAAAGGCAAAAGGAATGATTTGTTATTACATAAACCTGTTATAAGATAAAAACTTGATCCATATTTGCACTAAATTTCGACAAACTCCATCATAATATTAATTTAATAATTAACATTGTTAATTGAAAAATATGTAATATATCTTTTTTCTATTTTTCCATAAGCAAGCTGCTACATACAAAAAAAACATATTAAACTAGGCTTTTATTAAGCTTATTTTGTGAAAAAATGTCCACACAAGACTTTGCACTTAACTGTTACGCCCAAGTGTTGTCGTCGAGCCGGAACGCGCCGGACCATCGTTCCGGCAAATCATTTTTGGGCCAAAACGCGTTCCGGCAAAATAAAATTTGAAAAAATCGATACATATAGAAAAGAATGTGATAAGTGAACTTTATAACTTACTAATTTTTATTAAAAGTTTCTATTATTGTAATAAGCATACATAATATGTACACAATGAGTTTTGTTTCTTTTTTTCGAACGGAACCGGAACAAATATGAGAACCGGTTTTGGAATCGGTTTTTTAATTTTAGCGTTCCGGTAACAAAAATATTAGCACAACACGACTGGTTACGCCATGGAACACTTTAATTAATATTCTTATTCTTTTTTATTAAAATTAAAGTTAAAATTAGGGGTATGGTTACGTGCACATTTTTTGAGACCCCCCACTTCATCACCTGCATTAATTACTATTGGTGCATGGCATCGTGCCTTAAGGCAAATTGCTGGAACTTTCCGTACCGTAATTTGAAGTTTTTAAAACCTTTAAAAGTGTTCCATGGCGCAATGGTTAGGGTGGATGATTAATCTAAAAGTGTTCCATGGCATAATGGTTAAGCGCACTGCCTTGTTTTTTACAAAATAAGCTTAATAAAAGCCTGAAATAATATACTTTTTTGTATGTAGTAGATTGAAAACCTTTAAAAATTAATTTTTTTGAGAATTTTTTTGAGAATTTATATTTTTGTGACATTTTTGATAATTTTGAAATTTTTCATAACTTTAGCTACGTAGCTGTTTTAGAGACGAAATATCAAAGTGTAAAATTCGTATAAAACATTTTATAATTTGATGTGCATTCGTCTATTGTTTTTTTTTTGACCGCCATTTGACGTTTTTTTAATTTTTTTTCTGAATCTTCGAAAGCGCCAGACTTGCCTTTCCAAAAAATAAATCAGTTCTTCATTTCGTCAATACAGGTAAAATGCTTTTTGAATCATTCGAATCGGACGCTCCATTATCTTAAAACTTGAATTGGTATTTTTGTCATTTTTTGCCCTGTATCTCCGACACCGCTGGACTTGCCTTTGCTAAAGACTAATCAGCACGTCTCCCCATCAGTAAAAATCGAATGTTTTTAGAATCATTCAAATCCATGCGGCCGAAATCGTAGACAAAAAATTATATCCAAACATACATACATACACACACACACGTACACACATACATACATACATTTTTTCTAAGGTATGCTAAAATGTTCAGAAACCTTTGAAATATAAAGATATGCAAAAATTTTCATTTTCGATATTCGGCTCATTACTATAACTACCCTACGGGAAGTAAAAAAAAATGTTCCAGCGATTCTTAATGTTCTTAAACCAAATGTTTTAAAAACTTTAAAAATGTCTGATCATCTTAAAAAAAAATTTTTTGAGTATTTTTTAATTTTTTGGCATTTGTTAGTTTTGAAATTTTTGAAAATTTTAGTTGCGTACGGCGGTAACAGTACGGCGGCAAATAATAGCACCTTCTGTTATTATAGCATTTAATTTGTAAGTAATGTCATGTAATATTTTACTACAACTCAGTGGCGGATCCAGGAGATGGGTCACGGGGGTCATGACCCCCCTGAGCTTGTCTTAAGACTTAGATAGAACACTAATTCAGCAATAAAATTACTTCATAATGGTTTTATTCTTTTCTTTGTTTTCTTTTATTCAAACACATTCTATACATTCAATAAGTAACAAATTATAGACGAACGGCGGAGTCAAAGGCTCCTAAAATTTGAGGATTTTCTAATCGTATTGCGAATATATGTTCTATACATAATTTAATTATGTGACCCCCCCCTGGCGCCAAAGCTGGATCCGATCTGGTGGTAAAAGCTTGAGCAAGTCATACGCCAGTTTGGATGTTGACTTAGCCGAGGGTTGTATCTGGAGCAGAAGTAATTAATTTCTTCTTCAACATATATTAGCGAAATTACATTTTGCTTACTTTTTTCCTGAATCTCTGAAACCGGTGGACCAGTCCTCATCAAATCATAAAAACCATCCAATTATTATTACCATTACCCCGCCGCCTCTGTTTCCTCCGTCCGGGGGTCATCGACTTGCCGGGGATGCTGCAAAGATCACATCATCATCATCAGGTTGTTGTTGTGTTGTGTTGTGTTGTTATACTCTTTTTTATGACTATTTCCTCCTCCTCTTCGGTATGTTTCTGTGGTTTTAATACCTGTTTTCTTCATATACCTGAGAGAGGGGTATCGCCGAACATCGATCCGACGATCCGTCATAACAATGAAGGTTTTGCTCTCGCGAGAGACGACCGTCGAAATCAAATAAAATGGTTCAGATTCATACAAGAACGTGATGTGAAAGAATTGAATTGTTAATAAATTGTGGATTATTTGTATTGCTAAAAGGTGTGTTGGATGTAGAAATTATAATTAGTGGTGATTAAAAACAGTTGTTTGTTTATATTTGCACAAATTTAAAATTTGGCAGAATAATATTGTTTAAATTAGTTGTAAGTAGCATTTTGCCTTAAGGCAAGTTGCATGAACTTTCTGATACGTACACATAACAAACTTAATCGATAAATTAATTTATGAGTGATTTATAAATATACCGAGAAACTATTGCAAATTATTAAATTTAAAAAAAAAATTATTACCTGCAGCATTTTCTAAAAGCGCCGCCGATAATCTAACTTAATTACAATAACTTCCCGTGGGGTGGGTTATAATAATCGCAAAAAATCCAAAATAATTTTTTTTGTCTATTTTTACGTTTCAAAGGTTTCTGAACATACCTTTTTTGGCATACCTTAGAAAAAATAAATGTGTGTGTGTGTAAATATATACTAATTATAATTATCTCTTTGAAAATATTTAAACCAATTATTATTAATCATGGATCAATATTTATTAACTTCCCATTAAGAAAAAAGAATGTATGTGTGTGTGTATGCGGTTAAAATAAGTTAAAAAAATGTCATTTGGCGATCAAAAATATTTATTGAACTTATGCACATCAAATTATCAGATATTTTATAGAGATTTTAATAATGTGTACACATTTTGTGTATATAAATATTCTTTTGGGTTCCGTTCCAAGATTTTTAATTACTGTACGGGAAGTTCGAGCAATTTATCTTAAGGCACGATCTATGCACCCCACTAGTTGATTATTTTAGCAATTTGCCTTAAGGCACGATGCCATGCACCATTAGTTAATTTTTATAATTGAACCACTTTTCGTATGACTATTAGTATGTTCCTTAAGACCATGTACTCTATAGCCATACAAAGATTTATTAAAAACTTCGATCTTTTTTTAACAATCAATTACAAAGAAACGTCCTGGTCGAATTTTGCACAAAACTAACTAGCATGATTTCCAAATTGAATCACAAAAAATTGTATCGAAAACATAACACTAAAAGTTTTTGAATTATTAAAATCGATTCAGAGTTTTTGGCCAAACCATGGACAAAAAATGTTGCTCTTTTCTGGTAATTCGAAAGAATCGGCTCAACCGATCAAAATCGGAAATTTAAACAACACAAGTGCTTATCAGGATTTTATTAGTCCTTTTTAAATTTTTGATTTTATTTATTATTGTTTAATTGTTGACTTTTTGTACACGTTTTTGAAAAAACGCCAATCAAAAGTCTAATTTTAACAAACGTCAAAAAAACGTTACTTATTTTTCCAACTTCCAATTTTTTTTGACTTCTCGTGTGGCTGTAATATTTTAGTATGTTCTTTAAAGCCATGATATCTATCATTAAAACTCTTAAGTTTTTTTAACATTTGATTGGTGATTGTCTATTAATCAAGTGATCAATTTTTTAGGAATTTTTAGATCCTTCTCCTCCTGGTAATCCGTCGTGATATTCAGAATTACCTCTCCACCCCCACCAAACATTACGTGTATTTTTTTACGTAACATTTTTTGAATTTACGGAAAAAAACGTAAACTATTTGCTATTTTTTTAAATCTGGGTACAAAATAAAGACACGTAATATTTTACTAAATCCCCGACGCGATTTTTTGCGTTTTTTTGTCAAACCTTCCTCTAAAAGCTACACGTGATTAAAAGACGCTCCCTAAACAATAAGATAACGGCCAGGCAGATTTTTTATGTTACGTACTAATTTGTCTTAAGGCAAAACGCTACTTACAATTAGTTTACTTTTAAAAATCAAATAATTAATTTCTACTATTAAATTTTAGTAAAATATGGATGCGCGTTCGTCCAGCGCGATGGACACGCGCGGTTCAAATTGGGGAGTTCACAAATTGCTTGAAGATTTGTTAAGATTGTCGGAAGATCATGACAGTGCTGATGTTGTATTTTTAATTGGAAAAAGTGAGGAAAAGGTGTACGCTCACAGAATTATCCTGATGGCCAGGTAAGATGTACATCATAATTTTTATGAATCGTCAACTAGTACAATTTATCTATTGGGTTGTTCGGAAAGTAACTTCGTATTTTATAGACATTTTGAAACGTAATTTTCGTACAATAAACAAATACTTTAACGAATTATGAAATGGCTGTTTTGATCTAACATCTTTTGTCATATTTCTGGCATTAGCATAATTCCGAGAATTTTTGGTCGTTATTGGCAAAAAACTGATCAAAGTGCTTTTTGACCTGTTCATTTGAAGTAAAGGTTTCGCCGCCTAAAAATTTTTTTAATGACTGGAACAATTGATGGTCCGATGATGGCAGGTCTGGAAAATATGATGAATGAGGAAATGGGTCTCATTCAAGCTGTAAAAGCTTTTGGCGAATGACCAAACTTATGTGAGGTTCTGCTTTGTCTTGATGCAATACTATACTCGCTGGTGGGTTATTTCTGACCTTTTTATTGAAGTACATTTCAGCTAATGATATAAGGCATCCGTTATGTTATCATGGAATAGCTGGAAAACGAATAACTTCGTTAAAATATCACCAAACATACCGCATCACCTTTTTCTGGTCATTTTCAACTGTTTTGAGAAGGTTCTTCTTTTTTGTTTTATGGGCAATTGTATGTATTGTATTTTTACATCCCATTTGACATTCCTAGTAATTCGCTTCAAAACCTAATAATTTTCAGGAAATTTTAGAGGCGAATCGCGGACGCCAGTGCGACGACACAGGTTTCTTTCAATGAGAACCATACATTGAGTTCGAGGAAAATCCCAGACCTTTTGAATGGTCATAAACTGTTAAATTTGATAAATTTTTACTCAATGTATTGTTTTTCGCCGGTTTGCGTCAACTAATGTCTTTCTCGCATCTTTATCAGCTTCAACCATACTTCTTGGACGTGGTGCATCTGGGACATGAAAATACCAGGAATGAAATTAAGTAAACCAGTTTTGGCACCGTCGTACTATCAACACGTCATTTCCATATACATCGGGCAATTTTATTTTGACTTAAACAGTATTTTTACCTTTTCTATGGCAAAAGGGTAAAATATGTCGAAATTGCTGTTTAATTCTTTCCGTATTCAAAATGAACTTTTTACACACAAACCTTAAAATACTAGTTTCGAAATCATATAATAATTACACGGCTTAAGTGTGATGTTAGGTTCAAAAGGTTCAAAAAATATAGTAAATCGTCTGTGGTAAGAAAACAAAGTGACTTCCCGAACAACCTTATATAACTGAAAAAGCGACGTAGGTAGTTGAGAAGTATCATCACAGCAAGCAGTAAAAAAATTTCTGGACCAGAACTTTATCATGCGTCAACTACATTATGTTTGGTCTTCGGACGTTCAGACATTAATCTCGATGATGTCCTACAGAAGACAATGTTTTCCCAATATGTACCCAGTACAATACTCTTTACTTTGCATAAATAATCATATATAACCAAAAAATTCAAAATCAACGTAATTTTATAAATCATTTATTTTAGGTGTAAAAGCTTCCGAACTGCCAAACGAGGCGAAGTCTGTCGTATTCCTGGTTGCTCTGTATCGCCACCATCAGCAGGAAATCCTGCTCAAGTTCGTTTACCACATGCAAAACCCGAAACGTTCAAAAGACTGATTGTATTTTTATACACAGGCAAAGTAAGAACAAATTCGACAAATCTATTAAACTTAAGTTTAATTAAAATTATTATTTTATTGTGATACCATTATCTTTGTAGATCCAGCTCCAGGACACTCGAGTGTTTGAGCTGATGTCATTGGCGCAGGATATTGGAGCAGAAGACTTGAGATCAGCCTGCGAGGAACACGTAACCAGCGCCTTGTCGGTTGTAAATGCTTGTACTTTTTTAAGTGAAGTTATTGATATTCAGGAGCGACCTGCAGGTACGATAAATTAATCAATTTGTAACTTTAATATGTTTGAAAAATTGGTTAAAAATTGTTTGTGGATGTGGATGATCAAAAAATTAACTTTTTGAAAGAGAAGTTTGTTTTCGCAAAAAAAATCTGGTTTGCTAATTTTATATTTTCTTAACGTTTCAAGTCATTCTGAATCGAATGAGACCAAATTTGGAGAAAGTATGTGCGTTTGAGTGTTTTTGATATATAAATTGGCTAGACCAGGGTTTCTTAAACTATGGGTCGCGACCCCAAATGGGTGGATAAATTTCTAGAGTCCCGAGAGATTTTAATGTCAAGTATTTATATTTTATTTGAAAACATCATGTCTTGATTTTTGTATGTTTTCAACAAATTTTTAAACTTATATGTACGATTTGATGTACGATGTACGATGTATATGATTTTCATACGTATATGTACATTGTAATTACAACCAAATGGTTAACCTAATAAATAATTTAATAATATTTTTTATCTGTGTACTTGGGGTCGACAAAAAATTCTCAATCATAAATGGGGTTGCAAAGGACAGAAGTTTAAGAAGCCCTGGGCCAGACAGATTTCAAAATTATCAAAGCCATTCGATGTAAATCGACAAGGACAAGGGTTTATCGGTTTTGCGCGAGCCGTTTCTTTGTTTTAATTCAAAAACTGTTCGAAAGATATTGGTTGGGAATCGAGTTGATTAGTTTTTGGTCCAAAACGCTTGGGCCGTTTTTTTCGTAATTAAATACTGTCTTTTTTTGACGATTTGCATGAAACTTTATATAACGATAGATTTCGTAGTCTGAAATTTATATAAATCTTATTAAATAAGCAGATTACTTACACGTATAGGAAGGTTCATGTAACTTGCCTTGGAAAAATTCTACCTTAACTAATTTTTTTAAAATTAGCCATTTTGAATTTGATTTTCATGTCATCATCAATAGTTTTCTCCAATTTGTTTTCCACTCCACTGTTATGGCACACACATATCGTAATCAACTAGAAAAATTATTAGGGATTGTACTTGCCAGTAAAATGTTTTTGAAATTACTATATTATTTGCACAATTAAAAATACAGAAATATTTTGCTTGTGTTAACAGCCATCTTATGAAGTACGTCAATTTACAATTTGAAACCAACTGCTTCTAAAAAAGTGTTGCCCCATGTGATAATTCTCCTTAACAGTTGGTACCACTGTTTCATTTTCATTGTCCTTCAATAGGCATACTTCACCCTATACTTCACCCTCTACTATTGTGCGTTTGTCTCGCGCTTGTAAATACTCTCAAATATAATATTTTTGATAATTTTTATTACCCAAAAGTCTCAAAATGGCGTACAAAGGCCCCCCAAAAGTGCAAAAGGTTATGGTACAACCCATCAATCTTATTTTCCGATATCTGCAAAACCGATCTCGAGTACAAGTTTGGTTATACGAAAACGTTAACCTAAGATTGGAGGGACACATCGTCGGCTTCGATGAATACATGAATTTGGTGCTCGACGATGCTGAAGAAGTCTACATGAAGACGAAAAACAGGAAAACATTAGGCAGAATAATGTTAAAAGGCGATAATATAACGTTGATACAGAACGTTAATCCGTCAGCCAGCTCTATGCAAATGTAGATTTAGTCAATTGAATGAATGTACTTGGATGTTAATTTAATACGAGTTAAGTGTCTTTTCACGACTATAAATACTAGTTTTAGTTCATTCCACAACCACAAACAAACTGTTATGTTCATTATTTTTTCTTCGTAAATATATTAATTTTATACAAACACTTGGGTTTTTGATTTATCTCTATATTTATACATATCATGAACATAAGATGGAAAGTATTTTCAGAAGTATTCTATTCTGTGCTTTCCAAATAACACGCTGGAGTACTATAATTAATTCCACAATCACATAGTTTTCATATGTGAATATTTCTATGTATTTCATTATTTCAGGTGTAAAATGTGCAATTCCATTCATAGAGCGTTGTATATCATTCATTGGTGAGAATGCCAAAGAATGCATAAAAACAAATTCGTTCCGTAACCTATCAAAAGATGCGTTGATAAGCTTGATTTCATCAGACTATGTAAGTCTTATTTGATTTTCAAAACTCTGTGCAACAGGAATATAATTTTCTATCAAACACTAGCTTTGTCTTGAAGAAGAAGATGTTTGGAGAGCAGTACTCGCTTGGGCCAAACACCAGGCCGGTGTTACTCAACCTACAGCACATTGGGCTGAAGAGGAACGTGCAAGAGTGTGTCAGCATTTAGCTGGAGTTATTGGACACGTTAGATTATTACTTATAGGTAAAATGTAAGAAAAAATATTTTTATTCATTATTTATTTATATGACTATTTCTTCAGATAGCCAAGTTTTTGCCGAAGAAGTGGAACCAACAGGAGCAGTGCCTATAGAGCTCTCTTTAGAACGATATAGATATGCAGCACTGCACAGTAATGGAGTAATCGGTAAAAATTCAAATGTTGCACTTGGTGCACAAGCGGCCATAGCAAATGATTGCAATGACAAAAGATTGCAACCACGTTTAACAGTAAATCTATTCCCCGGATCTGCTATATTACAGGGAGAGAAAATGTCTTTGCAAAATATTTTAAATGGATGGTAATAATGATAAATTTACTTGCATTTGTTATTTGTGTTGTATATAATTTACATTTGTGGCAGGTATGGAAAGAATAAGCAATCATGGAGATTGATATTTCGAGCTTCGTGCCATAAGTTTTCTGCAACAGCCTTTCATAGACATTGTGATGGAATTTCACCATTATTTGTAATATTATTAGTAAGTTAGACTTCTTTTTAGTACCATTACAGATACTGTAATACTGTTTGACAGAAATCAGTTAAAAAATCACATTTTAGTGGAAAACAAAAACATTATTTTCAAAATAAATCTCAACTCTAATTGATCAACATATTATTTATACTTATAGAAAGGTTTATGTAACTTTCTTTAAGAAATAATAGTTACACAATTTTTTTGTAATTATTTGTTTTAATAAATTTATTTAGGGAACCCATGGAGAAATATGTGGCGGCTTTACAGACGTGCCTTGGAGCAAAAACAACAGTAAAGGTGGATATATATTCTCAGAAAAATCATTTCTTTTCACTCTACAAAATGAACATGACCCACCCACTCGATTTGATGTTATAAAGAAACCTTACGCTCTTTGTTATCATCCAGAGTAAGTCTAAAAATAAATATAGCAATCACAAAATCAAAATTAACTGTAATTTCCATTACAGATGTGGTCCAATTTTTGGAGCAGGTGCAGATTTATTTATTTCACCTGGGTGCAATAATAATTTAGACAGCTATTCAAATCTGCCACACTCTTACGATGGACCTAATGCTTCTTGTAGTAGTCTTATGGGAGATTATAATTTTTCTGTTTTGGATTATGAGGTTTTTACTGTTGAAATCATGAATGATATGCCGGCTGGCAAATCGAAACATGAGAGATTGTACTGATGAAATGATAATATAAGTAAACTATCGTTTTTATTTCGGATGGCTTGTGTTTTATATTTGATAATAATATTTAATCTGAGAACATCAGGATTACTATTTAGTAATTTATTTTGTTTGAAGAATATTTTACCATTTTAATTTTTTTAAGATTTAAAATCACTTCATAAATTTCCAATCTTTAATCCAAATAAATCTCAAAGTAAAAATATTCCTTTATTTACAGTTTTTTAACTACAATTTCATTCAATTACAGGAGGCGTTTCAATCCAGCAGTGTAATCAAATAATCTAACATTTTTAAATTCACCTTTCATATCAAGTAAATAATAGAAATATTTATCTTTGACTTTAAGTGGTAATTGTACAAGTGAATGCTCTCTAGGTTGATTGCAAGATACATTTTTTAAATCCACTGTCAGTATCTTGCTTTTACCGACTGGACTATAAGTGACCAAGCTGATGGATTTTCCACCTTTTTTCAATATCAAATATCGGACAGATCTTAATGTGTACACCCAGGATACACCTAATATACCATATCCTAAAAATTATGAAATACTGATGAATATCTTCTAAAAAAATCAAAATAATTCTATTGTTAGTTTACCTAATATCACACAAAGTGCAGCCAAAGTGTTTTTATATTTATTCTCCCCCAAATTAATTTTTCTCCACCACGCAACATCTCCTGCTTGTTCCGACAAAGGAGCATCTCGTAAACAAGTGTAAGCAAAGTGTCCTAAGTAAACCCAGAACACAAATTGGCAAATAGCAAAACCATTCAGCAATGTGAAAAACCTTGGGTTTTCATATTTGTATAAAATTATATCTTTTGTTACATTTGTGTTTATATCATAAGCTCGAAGCTGTTGTCGAGTGATAGGAGATATTGAAAAGTTTCGTTGATTGAATAATAATATTGATGACGAGTTGGGAAATGTTCTTTTTAAGGTTTGATTTGCATGGGTAATAAATGATTTTTGTAATGTAATATATTGGTTAATACTAGTTCTAATAACTGGACAAGTTATGTTTCTATATAATAAGTAATTCATTTTTGTAGTAGTTTAAGCTCTTAACGTAACATTGAATAGTTTAATCGCATTATTATTCCATTCACTTTTTTACATCTTTTACACTTTTGACACAAATTATTACAATGGCACTTCAGAGTTTGAGGTTATGATTACATATCTTTCACTTCTCGCAAAAAATTGTTTGGCACACGTTTATAAATACAGAACAATAATAAATATATTTTTTATTATCGTTTTCAAAAGGACATTCACTAAATATCACACATTTTATATAACTTTTCTTTATTAGATATCCGAATTTGAATCAGTGTCTATCAACTGTCAACTTCAGCGCTACCACCATTTTTTTTTCATTTAGTATGTTGGTTCTCCTCTTGTCTAATGTCATGGAACATCATGCTCTATTTTCATAGATAATAAAAATCAACTAAATAAAGTCAAAAATGTGTATATGATCGGTTAAAATAATACAATATAAGTAAGTACCTTGTTATTCTACATAATCTTATAATTCAAAATGGTTTTTTTTATATAAAGTTTGCTTACACAGATCTAAAACGACAAAGAACCGCTAAGACATTGAACCAGTAATTCACGCGAGGCACATTTTTATTAAAATATAGTTATTTAATTAGGTAAGTATTTATTGAAGATAATTTAAATTTAATATTGTGCAGCTTGCGAAAAAGTTTATGAAATAATTCATAAGTTTGTGTTAAAGGTTGCAGATTTAAAAATCGATTCATAACCTTAATTTCATCTTTATATATAGATTATGCAGTTATATATGTACATATACATTTTTGTTAGAAGTGATCATTAAACATTTGCATGTAGTTTTCAGAGTGATTTCAATTAAGTTTTGTACAAATTGCACAAAGTTTTGATAATGCAATAACTGAATAAACTATTAGATATGCTAATCCAGAACTATGCTCAAAATATTTATATCTTTGCAACCATCTTTCACCTTTAAATTGTTCTTAAAAGAACCAATAAGATCTATGTATTATATTTATCTCTATGTTCTATTGTTATCCATTATTTTTCTTCTAGTTATTGTGTTATATAAAATGGAAACCTCCACGGTGCCGCCATCAACTTCCCAAGACAATTTAAAGAAGCCCGATGTTTCCCCAGTTGCGGGTGAGAAAAAAAATGAAGAAATCATAGCAAACTTTCAAAGACTCCGATCTGAACAAAGAGGCTTAGCATCCAAACTGAGCACTTTAGAAATAGATCTAAACGAACATAAAGTTGTTATCGAACAATTAAAAACAGTGGATCCAGATCGAAAATGCTTCAGAATGATTGGTGGTATTTTAACAGAACGGACTGTTAAAGAAGTTCTTCCAATATTAATAAACAATACAGAACAACTCGGTAAAGTGATAGAAGCTTATAATAAAAATTTAATGGAAAAAGGCAAACTTATAAATCAGTACAAAGAATTGCATAATATTAGAATTCGGGGGCAGGATGAAGTTTTGCCGGAGGAAGAAAAAACGGACACACCGAGAAATGTACTAGTTGCTAATAATTAGTCATTATATAGTCACCGACCCAGTTCACATTTTTTGTTTTAATAATTAAACATTACGAATGCATTGATTTTCTGAACATGAAAAAAATAAATCATTTATCACAACATATATTTATTATACTTTTTTGTCTGCTTGGCTAAATTTAGCATTTGTAAATATTGCACATTAAATTTATTATATTATTTACGCTTTAACAAAATATTTGTCACCAAAAGTTTTATTATATGTTGAATCATATGAATAAAATTAAGACAATACTTGAGACATATTTTTTGTGCTATTGTTTTATGGCTTTTTTCAAAAATATTGTGCATTTTTATTAAATATAGTAATTTCAAATAACAAAAATGTGTTTTATGACGGAAATCAATTGAAAATGTAATTTAGAAACTATTGGAAATGAAAAACAAATAAAGGCATAATAAAATTACATGCAATGAAATATTATGTTACATATATTTCTAGCAAGTAATAAAGTATGCCAAAAACTATATACATTGAATACAATAATTGTCAGCAAAAGCATTAAAAAGTATGAAATTTACTCAAAGTCTAAAAGAGATTTAATGTTTTGCTTTTCGGTGAATGCAATGTGAATAAAATGATTTGATTGGTAGTTTAAATCAGATTGTTATCATTTAGTTTGTACTGGATTTATTGACAAATCAATAGATTTATAAGTTTTGACAAATTGTGTACAAAAGTTATAACAAAAATATTTACAAGTAGGTCAAGTTTAAAAGAAGAACATCACTTTATGAGTTGAATTTTAATATTTTTATTATAAATGAAAGCAAATTGGATAAAATTATATAAATAGCAGTTTTTGAAAAAACATATAATTAATTTTGTATGACAAATTGAGTACACATTTTGAAATTATGATCTTACTTTTTATAAATACAATTTTATTATAAAAAAAAAATAATTTACTTAAGTAAAGTTCAGAAAGGAATTATCATTATATTCACACATTCAATTTTTCTGGTATTATGCAAATGAAAAGTGGATAATTTTTTTTTAAGTCCAAGAGATCCTTATCATTATTATCATTTGATATACTAAATTTATTTACAAATAATATGTATTTACTAATAGTAATTATATTATTATTAGTATAACATTTAAATAGCAGTTTAAATCAAATTATTATCATTAGTACTATTTTATTGACTAATGACTAATTAATATATCTATAATTCTGACGAATTGAGTACAGTTTTTAATTTATAAAACACATTATTATTTGTCATATATAAATATTAAATTAAATTCTGTTTTATGTTCAATAAACCGTTTTTAATTTTTTTTTAAATTTGTATAAAGATTTAAGAAAATGAGGGGTTTGACAAAAAATCACTAGTAAAGTATGATGTCTATTTATTTTTTACCCAAATTAAAAAAAAAGCAATATTAAAAAAATTGGTGTCGGAAAGGGGATTTAATTTTAAATATTACCTAATGAAATATTTAATTATTTAAAAATTAGAGAGGATAAAAAAATCTTTAAAAAGCAATTACGTTACGCACCCCCAAATTAATGTTAAAAAATATAAAAAAGTTTTTGCTCGAATTTCAAAAAAAAAAAAATTAAAGCTTTAACATTAAGGTACGGGATTTTCCAGCAGTTTGCCTTAAAAAACTATATCATGCAATACTAGTTTATTAGCTGAATTTTTAAAAAATCCAAAATTTTTCAAAAAATAATACTGAGTTGGAGAAAATGCATTGATTATAAATATTACCAAAAAAAAGATGGAGTCCAAAAATCCTTAAAAATCACGTGATTAATAATGCCATTAAAGTTATAGTAAACGCAAAAAAATCGAAAATGAAAATTTTTATAGATCTTTACGTTTCAAAACCTTCTGAACATTTGGGCATATATTAGAAAAAATTGATGTATGTGTGTATGTGTGTGCGTGTATGTATGTATGTTCGGATACAAATTTTCGTCGACGATTTCGGGAACACGGATCAACCGATTTGAATAATTCGATTCGTATTGATAAGGAGACGTGCTGATTAGTTTTGCCGAAAACGGTAACTCAGTTTTTAAGAGAACGGAGCGTCCGATTTGAATAATTCAAAAAACATTTTATTTGTATTGACTAAATGAAGAACTGTTCAAATTTTTGAAAAGGCAGGTCCAACGACTTTGGAGATATGGAGGAAAAAGTAAAAAAATGAGCCATTTGGCGGTCAAAAATGAACATTAGACATATGCACATCAAATTATCAGATATTTTATAGAGATTTTAATAATAAGTATAAATTTTGTTTACATTCCTATGGGTTCCGTACCAATGTTTACGCGTTAGACGGCAACGCGGCGCTTACGCGCTTTGATATTTCGTCTTTATGCAGTTAAAGCAGTACGATTGCTTTGAAAAAAAGTTCAGAATTTCCAAAATATTTCAAAATGAATGATTTAGGATAGAATGATTTAATATGGTTCGAAATTCTATTAAAAATTTCAAATCTTTGATCAACTTTTATTGATTATTATTATTGATTATTTTTAATTACTCGAATTTTGAATTGTGGTACGGGAAGTTCCAGCAATTTGCCTTAAGGCACTATGCCCTAATTGCGTTAAGACAAAATTCCACTTACAGCTAGTTGCATTAGTGAATAGTTTATACGACTCCGCAGCAATTCATTTTCCAATTAATTTTGAACTGAAAATTATTCCCTCCGCCACTGGCGCCCATCGACCAGCTCCACTTGTTCCTTCCCGCCGCTCGTGCAATCTTCGCGTCTTTCCGCCTGCGTTCGTGTCCGTGTACGTGAAAACATTGCAGCTCGCCGTCTGTCCTGTCTGTTCACTCTGTTTCACTGTTTCTCTTCTTGACGATCACAAATCGCGGATTCCGTTCTAAATGTATGTCACGTCGGACATTCATTAAAAAAGTGATTAAAACCGAAAAAACACACTAAAGATTATATATTAATTAGATTTATGTGTTTATGTACAGAAATTAGTTTTCCTACAAGTGCCCTGAACTTTTGTGATAATGTGCTGTGTGATGGTGCAAAAGTTGTGAATAATATTAGTATAAAAGTGGGTGAAGATTGAATAAAGTATAAACAAAAGGATTTATGAATAATTAATTTGGTTATAAACAAAGGTATTGTTTTATTTATTATTTTATTATCTTTATTATGTTTTTTTTATATTTGTATGCGTGTGAATTGCAATTGCGAATATGTTCTCGCGTGTTCATGTGACATGTAGAGAATATGGTTATGGCGGATATTTGTGATATCGACAGTGATTTTTTAGTATTTGTGTAAACAAATTTCAAATTTGTTACATCAAGTGGTTTTGACATTCTTTTAAGGTCTGTGTCTAGATAATCGGTATAGAAATTATGGAATGCGACGTATCTAATAGTAAAGGATAGTAAAAGTCTGTCAAGGCAAGACAAAGGTTTATTTTTTAATGTCTGCCTTCGTTTATTTATATTTAGCAAATTTCTTGAACCACAGAACTCTATATTATGTATCATATTCAAATTCACTAGTTATTCCCTTTTCAATTTATTTAGGTTACTTTTTAAAGTAAAATCTGTCTTGTTTAATCTTTTTTATCACTTGTCAATAACCTCCAAATAATTACTGTAGGACTTGCAAAGAAACAGTTCTTCAGGGCATTTTGTTACTTTTTACTCGAAAGTAGATTTATTTATATTTTTTATTCAAAATCTGTCTTGTTTTATCTGCCCTTGTGACTTGTCAAAAACTTAAAAAAAAGGTAGAAATTGCAAAGAAACAACATTCTCAAAACATTTTGCTTGCAAGTAGAATTGACAAAAGTTTTTCCTTTGTTTTGCAAATTTTTCATAATACAGGTCTCTATCTTAAATGCCATATTCAAATTCACTGTTCACTACATTTCCAATTTCTTTAAATTACTGTATTTTTTAAAATTTGTATTGTTCTATCCTTTTTATTCCTTATCAATAACCTTCAAATAATTACTGTAGAAAAAAAAACAATTTTTCGGAACACTTTCTTAAGTTTTGCTCAAAAGTGGAATTCTTGACAGCAATTTGCCCTTTTCTTTATTTTATGTATAACATTTAAATCCACTACAAAATTTATTTAGATTTTTAATTCAAAATTTGTCTTCTTTTATCATCTCTTGTGACTTGTCATAAAAATAAAAAACGGTAGTAATTGCAGGGAATCTCAAAACATTTTGCTTGCAAGTAAAGTTTTTCCTTTGTTTAGCAAATTTTTTATACTACCGGTCTCTATTTTATATACCATGTTTACATATTCACTATTTACTCTTTTTTATTATATTTAGATTACTTTTTTAAGCAAAATCTGTCTAGATTTATCATTTTACCCAAAACTTCCAAATAAGTATAGAAATTGCAAAGAGTCAATTCTTCAGAACACTTTTTGAGGTTTTGCTCAAAAGTAGAATTCTTGACAACAATTTGTTCAATACATATTAATTTTCATTTCAATTTATTTAGATTTTTTATGCAAAATCTTTTTTATCTTCTCTTGTGACTTGTCAAAAACTGTAAGAATTGCAAAAAAAAACACCTTTTCAAAACATTTTGCAAGCAAGAGTTTTTCCTTTGTTACTTTATATTCTCTATTTTGTATACCAAAATTTAATTCACTATTTACTCAGTTTTTAATATCTATATAGATTTACTTATTTTAAGCAAAATCTATCTAAATTTATCTTTTTTACCCAAAACTTCCAAATATTTACTGAAGAATTTGCAAAGAAACAATGTAGAAGTTCTTGACAACAATTTGTCCTTTGTGTACATTTAAATTCACATCTTTATTCTGTTATTAATTTATTTAGATTTTTTATGCAGAATCTGTTTTGTTTTATCTTCCCTTGTGACTTGTCAAAAACTTAAAAACAAAACAGTAGAAATTGCAGAATCAACTTTTCAGAACATTTTGCTTGCAAGTAGAGTTAACAAAAGTTTTTCTTTGGTTATTTATATTTAGCAAATTTCTTATACCACAGATGTCTATTTTTTATACCATATTTACATATTCACCATTTACTCCACTTTCAACTTATTTAAATTACTTTTTTAAGCAAAATTTGTTTCGTTTTATCCTTCTTATTACTTATCAATAATCTCCAAATAATTACTATAAAACTTGTAGTACAATTCTTCCGAATACTTTGCTACTTTTTGCTCGAAAGTAGAGTTCACCTTATGTACCACATTTATATTTTACAAATATTTATTTTATTTTCAATTTATTTCGATTTTTTATGCAAAATCTGTTCTTTTTTTATCTTCTCTTGTGACTTGTCAAAAGCTTCAGAAACAGTATGAATTGCAAAAACACGACTTTTCAAAACCGTTTGTTCCTTTTTGCTTAAAATTAGAGTTTTCATTCGTTTCTGTATATTTGGCAAGACTCTTATACCACAGATATTTATCTTATGTACTATTTTTAAATTCATTATATATTAATTTTTAGGTTTTTCTTTTTGATGCAGAATTTGTTTTGTTTTATCTTCACATGTGACTTGTCAAAAACTTCTAAATAGAAATAGAAATCATAGAATATCATAGAAATTGCAAAGAAACAATTTTTTAGAACAGTTTGCTACTTTTTGCTCAAAAGTAGAATTCTTGACAATTTTTTTTTTATTATTAGTTTCTTTATATTTAGCAAAGTTCTTCTCATCAATATCAAAATCAATGAGATCTCTATATTATGTACCACCATTTAAATGTACTGTTTTTCCCTTTTTTAGATAAATATTTTTGCTGAAGACTTCTTGCTTAAAAGTAGAGTTTTCGATAAGAGCTTGAATTAATATTTATTATTGTTAATAACTGGTTGCTTATGAATAAATTTATAAAATGAACAAATATGTAAATAATTCTTTTTTTATGTGTATTTTTTTCTTATGTTAAATTGCTCGTCATATTTTTCAAGTAGCCTATAATTTTATATTTATAACTAATAAGTTGCATAGTTTCTAATTTTTATTTGTAATATTTAATTTTAAATAAACAGTTCTTTTGCTTCCAAGTAGAGTTTTCTTTTAGATGCTAGAGGAGGAGATACAAAATCAAATAGACGATTTCATCTACTAAAAGTTCACCATAAATTACATATAATATTATGTAAGAATATCCAATTGTCTTTCTTTATTTTTCTTTCAATACTTGTAAAGTAATGTAGCTCTTTAGCAATTAGTTTGTAATTGTTTCTTTTTTTAAAATGAAGAGAAATAGTTTGCTTTGCTTCTATTTCTGTCTGAGAAATTCAAAAAGTCACAATTTTAATTAAAATTTATTCACAATTATCTAATAAAGAAATCATGATAACAATAAAGTAGTAGCCTGCCCGAAGGCAGGTCCATAGTGTGATAGTATAACAAAATAAATGATTCCTTTTCCCTTCCAAAGTTCTATTTTTTTCCAAAGTTCTACTTCTACAATTTCTGGTCCTGTGCTACGACTTTGAGTTTCCTGAATTTTCGTCGTAAATCATCTGCATTCTTCTTCTTACAAATCCCTTCAGTTCTTTTATTTTATCTTCGACTTCACTATTTTTGCAGAATGGATCCCATCCAGTTTCCTTTTCTTTTAACGATCGTGTCTTTTTTCTCCGGGTATTTTTTGTCCATTTACTTTAGAGTCCATGTCTCTGATCCGTACAGAGCAATACTCCATATATAGCACTTTATTAGGACAAAATAATATTTATATCTTAAAATCCAATATTTTCTAAAAATGATAAATATAATTTAACGTCTTTGCAAAATGTAAAAAATTATTCATAGACACAACATCGCAATAGCAATTTAGTCGTGTTTGTTTAAACATTGTGCAATATGCTTGTATGTACTTCTACTATATTAGTTTTGTTTATTTAAAATTTTTAACACGTATTTAATACGGCGTGACAAAATATCGAATTTAGAGGTCACAGGTATATATAGTCGTATATGAGAATAATTTTTATAAAAAAAGCTAAATAAATTCTTGAAATGTTTATTCATATTCATATTATTTTCATATAATTTTTCAGCATATTCTTACATATATATTTCTTATACATATATCATATATACTATCTCTTCTTATATCCTAAGATTCCGTTCAATTTTTCTTTCAACTGATTTTCATTATTCTTCTTGTTTTTCAATGTGTTTTTCTCATCTTCTAAACTAAACTTTTTTCGTGCCTTAAGGCAAATTGCTAGAACTTCCCGTATCGTAACGAAATGTTCGAGGAATACTGAATGTTTTCAAATAGATTATTATAAATATTGTAACATTGTCTAATATTTATAAGAATTATATAAACTGAAATGCAAAGTTGAAATTATTTGTTTAAAGTATATTAGAACTTTAGTCAGGATTAAAAATAAAATCTGAATTATTTTCGATATACAAAAAAAACTAAAAAAAAAAATATAAATGTACAAACATTTTTTTTTACAAAATCAATTATTTTGTTAAGACAAGCAGAAAGTTCTTTGAATCATTTAAATCGGACGCTTAGTTCTCTCAAAAATTGCCATTTTTTACATATTTAGCTCCGTATCTTCGAAATGGCTAGGCCTGCCTTTGCCAAAAACTAATAAACACTTCTCCCAATCATTACTAATTGAATGTTTTTTAAATCATTCAAATCGGTTACTCCGTTCTCTCAAAAAGTCGATTTCTAATTCCTGCACTCTTTGCTCCGTATCTCCGGAACGGCTAGACCTGCCTTCGCTAAAAACTAATCAGCTCTTTTTCCTATCAATAGGAATCGAATGTTTGAACCATTCAAATCGGTTGATCCGTGCGTGACTGGAAATTTGTATCCATACATACATTCACACACACACATCCACATTTCGACACTGTATGTGTGTCATCATTCTAAAAAATATTTAGGTAACAAAGTTTAAAAAATTATAAGATATAACAGATATAACAACTATCAGAAAAAGATCACCAATATTTAATTTGGTATGAATTGCATTTAAATGTTTAAATTATTAAATATTATTGTATCAGTTAATTAAGACGTGAATGTATTTTAAATATTTAAATTGTTCATATGTATGTGTGTAAAATGTCAGTGCAGTGTTTCTTATCAAATTTCTTGAATAATACTCAATGGAA